AGATCTTCAATTGTAAATTTGCCTATGCATAACTTCATTAGGTTCCTTTCGATTACCACCCTGTAAAGACGCATTATAAAGACGCGCTATTATAAATCAATAATGATAAGTTGCTTTTTAAAAAATTGAAATTTTTCAAAAAAATTTTTATACAATTTCCTTTATTCTACAGATTGTTCCCAAGTGATTCAAAATTGGCAAGTTCGCATCAAATTATGCAGCTGGGCAACTATTGTAGCCTGTGCAGCACCAATCACAGTAATAGAGATTGTCATATATGAAGCTAAAATTCCAACCGTCCTTGGATCGATTACTGTTACCTTGGCATCCACCTGGATAGAACTGCTCGTATTTGCTGTTTCTCTGGTAATGCAGGCCTTCATGGTTACCTCTGTTGCAATAGCGTTTTGCCTTATGGTCGGTCCAGTTTGCTGTTGTACACTGCTCTCAGTGGCGGGATATCTTTCATGTTTGAAAAGGTAGTACTTTCTTATCTTTTACAGCTGATACTATGGTTCATGCCTTTTCTAAACGCACATTAAATTTTTAAACGCGCTAAAATCCTGATCAATCACTACTTCACGGGTCCTACTAATTACAGGAATTACCAACCAAATTTTCAGCAGGAATTTTCTATCGCGAAAAAGTTATGAAACATTGTACCAATTTTTCAGTCTACACTCTATCCTTTTAAAAGTTCAAATTTATGCAGATATCTATAACTATTTAAGATCCTTAAAACATTTCTGTGTTTCAGATCTCCACTCTTCAACCCTACGAAGGACACCGATAACCTCGATAAGCTATTGAATATCTACAAGCAACTCCAAATCCTCGTCGGACAAATTAATTTCTGCTTCCGCCAAGTCGTCCTTCCCGCCATCTGGATATACGGCATCTCAGTCAACATCTTTGGAACATACCTAACTCTAACGTTGAATGATGAGTTGTTTGCCCACTTCGGTAACACCCTTTACCCACTGCTCGCCGTGGAAACTTTCCTCCTCATAATGGGTCTTGGGACGACGGCTGGATTTATTAAACAGACATCGACCCGAATTATGAAAAAAATGAACGTGGCACTTTTAAAAATTGTCATGCAAAATGCAGACTTTCGGCGTCATGCAAGATATATGAGGAGAATGATAAATGCTTGTGGTCCGATGAAAATCAGATTTGGTAGCAATTTTGTCGACATATCTACACCTCTGGTAATGACATGCTTCTGCATAAAGATGGTCGTACGATTGCTTCTAGTCTTTTAGTTCTAATATATGTACCAAATGTTACACAACCTGTTTCCCATTCGGCGTACTATAACTTTTTTAAATAAAATTAAAAACCAAAATTTTTATGACTTAATTTTTTCAGGTTTTTGATGGTATGAGACTTCTGCACCCATCTTTTTGTACCACTAGCGATAAGTCAGAGCATGTCAAAAAGCCAAGAATATAAAGTCGCTCGCAATAAGTTTGTCAATGTATGGCTTCAGGCATAGATCGATAATAGATATTTGCAGAATAGTTTCTTTAACCAATTCATAATATTCGTGTCACCTAATTTTTGCAATAATTGCAGAAATTATGTACAATAACGTTCAGGTTAATGTAGCGTACAGTGATTTTTGCAAGTACCGCTTAGATAAATACATTGCTCCAAATTTCCTGCAATTAATGCAGTTCTTGCAGTTTTATTCATTTTTTGCATTATAAAGTAAAACACATCTGTTTCTCCAATAAGAAATGATGCTAAAGAATTTTATAAAATGTGTCAAAGTGGGGGAAACGATATAGGAATCCTCCATATCTGATTTCCTACACACTTCTCACCAACCAATAAAAGAAAACAGATGCCAGATTTAGTCCCCAATAAAAATTATATCCAGCACTTACCGATTAATCAGCTTGAGTGCACATTGGACATGACGGGAGATACAGAGCAGACTCGCATAAACAATGCAATATTACATATGCCAGAGGAGAAAGTAGAGAAATCTCCGCATTCTCAGTTGGATTTCATCCTTCATGGTTGGAGTGCATCTTCAAAACATCATTTAAAAATTGAAATCCTTCTCAAAATTTACCAAATTAAATAACCGATTTTTCGAACATCTAATTCATTAAAGCTCAACCTTACAAAATGTTTCGGTCTGCCTAGCGAAATAAATTATTTTTTCGGCACGTGCCAAACTTTCTTGCTGAGAATTTTATCCGGGCGAAATTAACCTACATATTTACCACAAATAAATATTATTGATTTCGCAAAATGAGCCAGCCACTTTGTTACAGTGCATACTACTGGGGGCGCCGTACAAATGTTGTTCGCACAGTGGATCTTGTAAGTGTGATAAGCACATTAAAAGCAATTCTGACACGTAACCCTTTTCTCACATATGTACAATTATTTCGTTACAGATTGTTACAATTATCATCTTTATCATCACCCTGTGCTTATTCGCATACTTGACAATTACAGGTGAGCAGCCAATATTTGTTTGAACGTGTCGTAAGCAAAGTTTGGGATTTGTGATGATTTTGAATGCGTTGAATTTCTCTAACTAGAAAATTTGCTACAATTTTCTAAAAAGTGGGACGGAAATTAGTCATAACACATTTAAATTATAAAAACAAATCTCTTAAATATTTAGAAACCTTTGAAAATTTAGATTTAAAAAATAAAATTATATCAAAATCTAAAAAAAAACTTAGGAGAACATGTTTATATATTTCTTTAGACAAAGACATGGCAAACTTTACACACTTTTTTTTCTGAGAAATGAGAACACCATGTGCCAAAAATTAATTGTAGTTATTACCACCTTATTCTAAAATATAGACAAAGTGCGAAACCCACCTTAATAAATGGATTGCAAAATTATTTACAAACTTATTTACTTTGAATTTGTAATGCCTGATAGTAAACGCCAAACATAGGACGCCAATTAGCGACACGCTAATTAGCGAAATACTTTCACAAATCCAAATCCAATTTTGTCCCCGAATTTTTTACCTTACTGAATTAATCACATCCTGTTTCCATACAACCTGCAGCTGCAACATATCAACGTGGCCCAATTTTCGTACTATTCGCCGCATCAACGTTCCCCTTGTACTATTTGATAAAATCGACTTGTATCCTTTATCTCATCGTGGAAATCACGCCACCATCAGAGGAATTTGTAAGTATTTCCAAAATTTCTAAATAACTTATACTTTCTCAACATATTTTTTGTCAGGACGCGTACACAAATTGGAAACAAGATTGTTCTCAAGTCATCCGAATCAACGCATCAATTATAGGAGCATTTATCCTGGGACTTATACTGGTATCGGTGTCCGTCTCCTGGTCTTTGAACTATGACCCAATCGAATTCTTTTACTCATCCGGCCTACTCATCATATCCTTTGCATACGTAGTTTTTATGGCGCGAATTATCTACGTTATATACCACTTTATACAGGAAGTGACTTGTACTATATTTCCACCTATATCGGGGGTTCCAGAAGAAGTTACAACATTACTTTCACAAGAGACAACTCTGCCCCTGCCTTCGTATGACGATGTGTGCAAAAATAGCCCCAATTATCCCGTCGTATTACACAATTTAAATAAATAATTCGTCATTTCTTTCACGAATTATTTATTTAAACCGGTGAAATTTTATTCACACTGTTTCTTATTGAATCCTCATATTTTTCCCTCAAATTTTTAACGTTAAATCCTTCATAGTTTTGCTATACTCAATTACGCCAAATACAGGTGCCTCTGACATAAGATTTTTTTTACTTTCTTTCATATTTTTTTAATAATTTCTTAGTTTACTACCTGTTACTCATTTATTATGTATGTGAAGCATAATATTTCAAATGGTGTAAAAATGTGCACACACATATATAAAGTGGGCGTTAATTCGTGTCACAGCCAGAGTACTGCTCCATAAAACTTGTAAATCGTAAAAATGGCAAACTCCTAAGCAACGTATTCTTTGAACGGTAAGTTTTCTACAATTTCAAAATTCTGTAATGTCATTCCCCAAGTTTATTTCCCCTTCAGAAAATGCGTTGCATAATAGCTCTGCAATTTTTATGTATCCGAGGTATGACAATATTTAGACGGCTTTACAATTAAACTAGAATATACTAAGTAGTAATTTTAACGAGTGACAAGCTTTCTTCTTAGTCAGTCAGACTTTCGTAATATCCTGTATTGACGTCATGTGCCGCATTTTACGAGCGAACATGTCTCATTTTCATTCTTAATTTATTATATAACTAGTTTTAATTGGATTATATAACTATTTGCACGTATGTATATTTAGTTATAATAAGGATGTTTATCTCAATGGTGTCATTAGTTGAGGAGCATATTTTTCTATTTATTTTTAAATCCTTATTTATACATTTTTCATGCTACATATTCTATGAAACTTGTTTACTCGAATTATCACATCATCACGTCTACCGCTTGGAATACATTTGCGACACCGCCTTATTCCATAAGAATTGAGTGAGGTATTTCCTTGTTAAGTAATTCGTCTGGTCAGACCCAGACAATTGTACTCAACGCGTGGGAATTTCAGACTGCACATGTAAATACCACATATCTTTGAGAAATGTGTGGTACTTTCATTATGAAAATTTGACATTGAACTTATGCATAACAACGCAGATAAACAGACACATATGCATAACCATACTCCAGTAAAATTATGTTGATCAAAGAGGATTAAAGTTTTATAATTTTTGAGTCAAGCAAGAAGACATTGCAGGTACCGTGGTAAAAGCTTAGACACTTTGAGACATATTACATAAACTTGGTAATGCTAGACGACGTCGTAAAATTGTAAATTAGTGAGGCGTAGATGTCGGTACCTTATCCTGATAAAAATCCGTCGACATGCCAACTAATTAATTTATATGACTACCTTGGCAACTTATGAGTCATAAGATGCAACTCTTTACAAAGATTTTTGTAATATAAAACGATCCCCGTGACTATATCGGGTCAGTCCATTTCTAACCTTTGAATACAAATAATCATACCAATTTGTCCCTAATGACGCCAATCGCATATCGCCCCATCAAGTTGAGGGGCAATGTCAAATTCAAATTTCCCAACATTTCTCATCCCTCCCTCGGTATGCAGACCGTGACCGGACGTTTTCGTCGGATACAACCCAACCTGTCTCGTTCTGAGGTGGATCCCGCCATTCTTGACGAGATGTCGGTTAAATACACCAATTTTTCGGGACTCTTAGGTTTCCAAGACTCCCATTTTAAACACTACCCTATCAAAACTATGATCCTAACCGCGGTACAATTTGCCCTCTATTGGATGCCAGGATTCGACGTGGCATCACCCGAACTGGATTTTGCGGCACGTCAATTAATCTGGATCTGGTTTTTGGACGATCCCATGGAAGAGATTTGGAATCGCGCACAAAAACTTGACAAGAAACCAAACATTGACGCATTACGATTCGTAAATGACACGTATATTAAGATATTTAGTGGTAAATCCGTCCCTAAAGAAATTCCAGTGCTAGAAGAATTTCCTGAATTCGGATCAATGTGCGCTTGGGCGACGGACCTAACGATTCGAAGTAAGGAGTTTGCAAAAATCAGTTCCGCCGACGAGATTGAATATGTCGTTGAAACTTTGCAAACCATTTTTGACTGTTACCAATGGCACACGATTAGCCCAGTGGACAAAAGGTGATAAAATTAGAAATTTATCAGTCAAGATTTTTATAAATTTTTATAAAATTCTTTTTGTTTTTGCTTAGGTATAATCTAAGGACATTCCAGGACTGGGGAGTCGTCAATTCTGGGGGTAGTTGGACCCTGGAGATGATCGCGTTTGTCATGGGGATACGGCTATCCTCAGAAATCAGAAGGAATCCCGCCTTCCGTAAAATGATTAACATCGCATCAGGAAATACTCAGTTGGTCAATGATATCTTGGGGATGGGAAAAGATTTTGGAAATCATATCGAAGGTGAAGTCGACAGCGAGCTCGTTTTCCGTGTCCTTACTAAAGGAGAGAATCTACAAGACGCTGTGAATTCCATGTGTGCCAGGATTAGTCAAGACCTCGAAGACTTGATCTTCATTAAACAAACACTTATCGATCTTTTTGGCGAGGAGGAGAATCTTGTCAGATTTCTTGACGTGATTGACACATTTATCGATGGGCAGAACGTGACTTATGTGGAGAATATTCGGTACAAGTGTAAACGAGGGTATGTCAGCTTATCAAAAGAGAGTGATGAAGAGGATGTCCAGTTTACGATTTAATCGACGGGAATTCCATGTCCGGAATTCCATATGAATCCTCAAATTTCTCACATGATTGTCATATTTTTTGGGGGATATTTCTTACCGAATTTTGATTATTACTTAAATAAAAATTCCGATTTAGACAAACCATATGTACCGGTGCACGTATTATTTCCTAATTAGGTTTTGCCGTAATTCGGTTCATAGACACAAATTAAGAATTTCTAATATTCATCCATTGTTCCGTTTCTACCTGACAAAAGTACTTCCGACCACTGGCTGGCTAAAAGGGGTGAAAAGTTGTCAGTTGCGAAAAGTGACTGGTCAAATTAACAGGAACCTAAATCCTGCTCTCATTGTCCTCGAACATGCAATCAAAATAAACTGGTAACATATTGTTACACAGGAGTTTTATTTTCTTATTTACTTTTAGGCATAATAATTATGTAACTTATGCATTAGCCCAACCCCAACACTGTTACAGATTCTATATTTACAAAGATGGATTAATATGAATTTGTTATTAATTGTGTACATTGCCTCTAACTAACAACACTATTTGTTGAAGTTTTACAAATTACTTTACCATTTCTAGCATATCTCTATCAACATAACGAACTTCTCAATTACTTTCGTAACCAGGAATTCAGTCGCTTTCACTTTCCTCGCAAGGATCCGAGTCTGACTTCTTCATTCGTGCATCCCACATTTTTGCTTGTCCGAAACAATCATAACTCATAACCGTTCCTCTAGTAGAGTCCACCTTTTGCCCAGTAAGATCTCGTCGTATTCGGATACACCGTCCGCAAAATTGATCAAAAAGTACTCGTGATTGGCAATTTCGAAGAATTAGGACCAATGTGACATTCGGATTATCATAACCCTCTCGAAGTATCTCACATACAACTACGATTCTTTTAATACCCTTTGTAAAGTCGTCCAAATTTCTCGTACCATGACGGTCAGATGTTACGTAAGTTGCTTCGTCACCCAAAAATTGTGCAACCGCGATGGCTTCAGTTCTCCTCCTAACAAGCAACATAGCTTGAGGTTTCCTTTGCGATGCTCTTGTATCTTGGGCATAATGTTGGTTAAGATATTCCTCTATGTCTATCTTAAGTTTTGAAAGAAAATTAGGTCCAAACGGAGCATATGCACAGGATCGAGAGACAAACTCCGATCGACGAATCGTCACTCCTATAACATTTAATTTAACTTATATCACACCAATTTATTTGTACTGCAAATTTGGAAATCAAATTCTGCTACCTTCCAGTTTACAAAGATCAATTTCAAATACGGTTTCCATTTTTACAATGAGCTTCTTCCACTCGTCATTGTCTTCGGAACCACGGAAGGGTGTTGCTGTCAAAAAAACAACTTTCTTTCCTTCAAATTCGTTAATAATATTATTCCAAGTTGCGGCAGGATAATGATGTGCTTCGTCTACAATTATAGTATCGAACTGTCTCAACATTCTCGCTACCCCATCCTTTGAATCTTGATTCGATAGACTTAGTCTGGATTTTCCAGAAAATTTTTGGGCATTGAAAATGACCAACTCATTCTCCTCAAGATCATCTATCTCGTCCGGACTAGTTACAAGGGGTTGATCCACCAGGTTCTTAAGTTTCTTGTTAATAACGTTAAAAAAACCGCATTTTAAGAAGAACGAAGTTTTTGCCGTCGGAGACCCGAAATCTGCCGCTAGTTGCTTCGAGATTATACAGGAAGGTGTTAGGATAAATACTTTCTCCGATGCAAGTACAAATGGAAGCAGGACAACCATTCCTGACTTTCCAGAACCTGTAGGTCCCACGATAAGGGCAGGCTTGCGAAATTCAACAGCACCATCAACTTGATTTTGCTAGTATTTTCCTGCACTCAGAACTGCATCTATCTGATAGTCATGTAACTGGGTCTCTTGGGTCCTATTTGAATTGATTTTCTGCAATTCAGCCTTCAGCATTGTTGTTATAAAGTCGTGATGTTTTTGAAACTTAGAAATCTCTTGTTCGTCATTTCTCCACTCTACCAATTTTGAATCAGATTTGGCCATCCCACTCTAAATAGAATAACATATAGCTATAAAATCGCATCAGTAGATAATTAACCAAATAATTTATTTACCAAAATTTCATATAATATGTACCCTGCGTCGAATTATAACCAGAATTCAAGCAGGATGAGTGATGTCGACCCTTACTCAGCAGCTTTGGTATTGCTGCTCCGTATCACGGGACTAACGGTCATTAATGAATTATCTCTAGTTGAACGGTTTCTGATAATGCAGTCGAGTACGTCAGCGACGTCGCAAAACATACGTCTGTAAATCGGACAGAGAATACAACAATATCAATCTGTCACCTTATCAATTGGAAGCAAAGCGATTCATTATTGCAGAATGTGGAGTTTATCTCAAACCCATCATATTGGCTCCAGCATGACGGGAGATTGTTTAGCTTTACCACGGCAGGTCAGATTAAGTAATATGATTGATTTTATAATTAATTAGACTATGTTATGCAAGAAGCATTTTTAACTCACTTCTGTTGGGACGAACGTTTCTATCGTCAAGTGTTATATAACCTTGGTTCATTATATAAATACAGCATATTTATGTATTACGTATCCTATTCGTACTCATTTTAATTCAACACCGCATTATTTGTCAGTTATCAATAGCAGAGTTACGTATTTATTAGTATTACGTATGCAGCAGGAGATTTACATACATCGATTTGTTGATATATGTGTAAATATAACATGTAATCGATTTGCTGCCAGCTCAAGTTATCATCCCATTCATCCGGGTAATCAGGCATAAGCAAAAGCAAAAAAAATCGACGGTTCAGTTGGGACTCAGATATACATACCGTATGCTATGTGCTAAGAAATAGCATAATTTATCAATCATCATAATTTCGTGTCATTTTATTTCCAGTACATATGTGACGATAATTTTAGCTTTTTACGAAGTTTAGGATTTTATTCTAAACGTCAGCTTTTGTAACTTGGGATTATTGATAAATACTGCTACTCTGATAATATATTAAAAACTTACAACTTGTCTGCGCCAAATTATGTAATATCGACCCTTTTTGTAAACACAAGGTAACAACATACATACTTGACAAAATTGGTTGTGAAGGGCCGTTCGTATACAAAACTCAAAATTACGAAAATGTAACTGTAAAACGTTCATGAAAATAATGAAATGTCTTTATTTTTTCCAACAACCTTATCAATCATCCATTTCCACTTTGCATATACATACATATGTATAGGCGATAGGTATGAAAATACGATATGGTTTGTGAATAACCCTTGGCAACATTTCTCATAATAAACCGAAATACAAAAAGAGTTGATAATAAATATGCGCAGACAGTATATATTTATGCGTACCAGCCTGGTTAGATTTAATGTGTTTTCTTTAGTTCGGTACGATTCGTACGATATAATGTAAGACGGGAACAATTAAATTGCTGAAAACTTAACGTAATTAGGAACCCGTTTAAGAAATTGAGCTTCTTAATCATCAAACTCGTCTGTATATCTGTCACGTAAAATTTATCAGACTGAATGTATGAACACATGGGGCTGCGGCCGTATCGCATAATAAAAAAGGCATTTATTAAAGGCATTATTGAGAGATTGAGCGAATGCATGAACAAAGTAACGAACTTGGCGTGATGTGCCGAGCGCACCGACACCTACATATCAATATACCAGCCGACTAAACGTGGTCCACTCTGCATGCATGATATAAACTATGAGAAACATCTACTTATCAACATTCTGCAGATATGTGTGCAACTGGTGTCTCCTGCCACACACAGCACTGACTGGTAATGTATGTATGTCTGGAAATCCAGTCTGTCATGTATAAATAACACTATCCTCGTTATGTTGTAGCACCAGTTAAAGCCTTGCAGAGCAAGAAGTACTTTATAACTTTACTACCGTAAAGCAGAGCAAAGTCGTACTAAAACATCTGTGTTTTAAGTCAAACAATTTTTTTTCCAAGGTGTCAAATATTGTGTCAAAGTATTTTCAAAAATATCGAACTAAGAATTTGACTTGTATCTTGCCAGACTAATCCTCGTGGTGGTATCGATTTGTCATTCCATCTTCTCTGAGTGGTCAGGTAAATATTATATTTTGTAAGCAAAATTTCACCCACCTGTATTTTACAGAGGCATTTATCACGTTATGCTAAGATTTCTTGCCAGGTAGAGTAAACAGTTTTAATAAATTCAAGACAAGATTCTCTTCATCCCTTTTTTAAATATAATCACACAATAGACTTAACTACAAAAGCGGGTACCTTATTGTTATAAAAAAATGTAAGTTATGTCATATTTGCTCAGAAACTTGTATAATGTCTCCATAAATAGGAGTCGATTTGCAAGAAATCAGGTTGAGAGTGATTTCATGATGGATTTCTTGGAAAGAAAATACATATGGAAATATTATACTTGCGTGTAACAAAGTTGTGTAAAAAACAATTTTTTATGACTGCTGAGAAAAGTAAATTATTGCGTTTCTGGTCAGTATGTGATATTCGAGAGTACAGAGATATGATAAATTTGTATAGTCACGTTTCCAATATGCCTACATATTAACAGGTTGTAAATTTGTGGTAAATCTTTAGAGTTTGAGAATATATTTTTTTACCATTACAATTTGTACGTTTCATATTTTTTATTATGGATTTGAAAATCATTGCACTTAATTGTCTGAATGGCCTTAATGTGATGAATTTAAGGTACACTGTACTTATTGTATTCTATGAATTTACCATATTTATCCGTTTTTATCGTGATACCTTGGAAACATGAAGAGACCTTAATTCCTGATAATATATATGTAAGAGTGGAGTAGGGCAGAGTCGCGAAAAAAAGTATGTTTTGTTCAAATGAAGCACCAAATATTACACGGAGCTTAATATGTAATTTACAGGCTGCAATTTTTGCAAGATAATATTCCCAATATCAGTAATGCAGTTTGCATTATTTTTTATGCAGGATGAACATAGAACTCTAATTTTTCTAAGGTTTTTTTTATATAAAAAATTCGGTTTTTCCTAAAGTCTGAAAAATACGACTCTACTTGATCAATTTTCCGTATAAATCGCTTCTGTGCGTAAATAGTTGGGTAATATTTACATAATATCTTATGTTGTGTCTTTCTTTGGTTTCATGATATTAAAAAATTTATAATTTTTCTACTTAATTTACCCTACTTTGAGTAAATTTTGAGACGCTGAGCATACTCCTTTGTACCAAATGTGCTTAAGGGTCTAGCTAAAATTGCATTGAATTACATTGAATCCTTCAGTACCATGCACACCTTAGTAACCACACCCGACTTGCCCACTGGGTGTCACTCGCTAGCGAGAATGGGTGGATGGAATTCCAAAATTCTCATTTCATAATTTTTGTGTGATGTAGAGCTAGTGCAGTTTTCTTGGAAAACTTTTAGAAATGAAAGGAAGACACTAAAACAATTCATTAATCATATAATTTAAATGAAAATTTTTCTTAAAATTCCGAATTTATTAAGTAAATTGGTTATCCTTAAGTTTTGCAAACCCAGCTTCAAAACTTCACTAGTATAACTAATTATGCTCAAAATGACACCAAAAGCAGTATTATATCTGTTCTGGAACGTCTGGGCCAACAACACCCTAAAAAAACATGTATGCATATTTTCTTTTGTTGCATGTCAACAACACACCCGATTTTGCAATGGATGGGTGGATTTTGTACAGGAGAAAATATGCTTCACTTCCTATTTGAGTCTTGAAATTGGGTATGACCAAATGAGTGAAATAATTTAACTTGGAAATTTCGTAATTATTGGTTATATAAAGTATTTACTATTCCCCCTTAAAATTTTCAAACTTTTTGTAAATTAGTAATAAATAAAAACTTGTCAACTTGCACAAATATGTGGTGTGCCAAAGGTTTAAGTAAACAAGCTTGCCAACTCAGATATGGGAATTGCCTTCTTTCCATGAAATCCATTGTGACTCAACGTCGTTATTTTATTGCGAAAATTATGCCTGCGTGATCTCAACCAGTGTTTAAATGACATAATCGAGTTCAAGGTTCATTCTCCAAGAGTATTCTAACTCATATAAAATCAATTAAAGAACAATGTGTGAAAATATGCACGTCGTAAATAAATTAGCCAACATGTGTCTGGTATGTTTTACGGGATAAAAAATTATTTCTTTAGACAAAACTTATACGGCCAGTATTCACTTTTTGCACACATTAGTTCAGAACATTACATAGGTCAGGAAATGAGCAAAAATAATATGTATAATAATTTCTCAGTTTGGGTCAACAATGTCATACTTCTACTTACCTTAATTATGTCGAATTCTGTGGAAAATTAGATTTTTAAAAAAGTTAAAATTTGTAAGGAAACTAAATTTTTTATAGAGGTGATGAAACGTTACGAAATGCAAAATGATTCCTAAAACTAATTATATAAATATTTCGCAAAAATGCAACTCATCTTGGTTATGCAAATATAGTAAAAAATTAATTTATATAAATTTTTTAGCACTTTTTAAGACTATTTTTGATACTGGCTTGTTAAAAAATTATTATGTAATAATTTTGTACCAGTGTTTTTTTTACCAGAAAGAAAACTGCATCAAACCTTATTTTTTTCATGGGGACGATAAGTTAATTAAAATTTTGGTTTCATTTCAATATTCAAAATATGGTAAAACATCACGGCCATTAAATATGTGTCAGGAGTTTGATTCTGAAAAATTTGCCAGTTTTGCAAGATCATATTTGGGGATTTGCTTACTTTGCTTGATAACAATTCTGTATCAACTTTGTGACTTGAACGTTCCAGAAATTCCACTTCTCGCATGATAAATAAGGCCAAAGTCCATGCTTCACCGAGGCGCGATCTAACTTGTATTAAACACCATTATATAAATAAAATCTAATCTTCCCTGCATTTATTTAAACGGGATAAAATTCTTCTTGAAAGGCTTCATGGTGTAAACATCGCAATCATGGAATATGCAGGTTTTAATCTGTCAGTAAAAACGAATATTACTCCACTCAATAAAACCCTGTACGTACGTATAGTAAGTGATATGCAAAAATCAACTCCTCTGCCGATAAACTCCATACATACATCAGTTTAATTACCTATACGATAAGACCACCGTAATCTGGTCAATATCTATGTACACACAAACAAGCCTGCGGTGCGGGCAAGTTTTGAACATTTGTATTTATAAGCTGGCCAACTGTGATATGGGATTTGCCAAACTTTGATCAAGTAAATTGTGACGCAACCTCATTTTATTTTATTGCGATAAAATATACCAGCCTTTACAGATCCAGTGGTCGTACATATTACATAACCCAGTTTACATAAGTTTCATTCTCTCATAGTGTTGTCCAACTCACATTAAAGAATAATGTATGCAGTTGTATATTGTAAATATTTATGTACATAACTTAGTCAAGTTGTGTCTTTTCCTCCTGTAAAATACATGCAAACAATATTTCATAATTACACAGTTTACTAAAATAAAGCAAAATTATATAAATTGGATAATAATTTAAGTATAAGTAATTACATTTTTTTTTAATTTCAGAATTTTGTCAACTTTCTGGTTCGAAAGGAGAAATTTTTTTTACCGGTTTGCTAACTAATTTTATCTGTCTTAAAAATATTCTGCAATACGAGGATTATCCGATTGTTCTAGGTAAGTTAAATTATCAATATTAAATACAGTGGGGGTATTCAAGGCCAACTTTCGCATGATTTTGGTTATTGGTCATTAAATCAATGTATGGGATTGAATTAACCTCTTTAGGGCTATGAGTGACTTTTGTTGCGTTTTGAAAAATCCCTGAGAGACGAAGTGCTACTATAGTCGCAATTTCGAAATGACCCATGGAGACGAAAGACTACTTTTGTCTCCAAATCAAAACATCCCCGTGAGACGATGGATAACTATAGTTGATTCCATAAAAATATTTGTGAGACGATGGACGACTTTTGTCCTCACAGTGAATTGTCTAGCCCGAGCCAGGGCTTATGGAACCAACATCTGTCTGTCTATCGATAAGTCTTAGACTTATCCGATTGGGTTGAAATTTTGCAAATGTGTAGGATATCTAAAACTAAGAATTAATTTCGAAGATTAGCCAAAGGGGTAATTTTGCTCATTGGGGGGGGGGGACAAAAAATTTCTAAATTTGAAATTGTTGTTGGAGGTGTTGAAACTTGAAATTTTATAAAACATATATTTTCATATACTTCATTTCCACACTGGTTTGTGGAAATGGGCGATTAATTAAATATGATACGTGGTAGCTTCTCAATTAATAAAATGAACTCGATTTCACAAATTTTCCTAAATTTTGTCTATGAAACCATGGTTACCCACATAAGTTACATACATATATATGTCATGTTGCATGTATGATTTCTGCAATCTGATTGCATATAAAACTTAATATTTGTTAAGTGGTGTAGTAGATGAGAAAAACTGATGAGTTCGTGACACATATTTAGTTAAATATAATTCAGCAATTTAGATGAAAGATTAAACGAAAAATTAGTATACAGACTAATCTTGGCTCGGGCTATGCAAAGTGTATATAGAGACGTTTTTCAACTACGTCTCTCAGGAAATCACCTCATTTTTAATTTCAGTCACTAAAATTATCTAGCTATTATCATTGTTGCCCCCGTAGAAACGCCAACGAATAGCTTTGTCGTCGTTCGGGAATGTTAGAGAAAATAAACGTAGCCCTAAAGAGGTTAATATGTAGTATGGATAAAAATAATAAATAATTATATTTTGAATAAGATTTATAGATCGGGTAATAATAATTATGGATTACAGTCAAATATTTTACGAATTAAATTCACGTTTTTTTTCTATGATAATAAACGTTACTAAAAATTACAAACTTTCAATGTGAAATGTCCCAAAATATTTTAATTATTCGTAGGCGTAAGGGTTTTTTAAAATTGTGTATTTTAGCTAAAATTTTTTTAAACTTAGCTAAGCTTAGAGACGTTCATAAATATCTACCAAAATATGTACATATTACCCAGATAACCTTTGCAAAATCAGAGTAATCATCATGCATGATGATGTACAAGTGGGTTTTAATTGAGTCACTCTTAAAACCGCATTTGACCCCAGAACTTCGCGTAAGCGTGACCTTTGTAGTCTTAAAATTTTCTAAATACTTAATCTTTTCAAAAATTAATTATCAGAGCTGGCCAAATTACATGAAGTTCAAATTACAAATTACAAACTGCAATTACAATAATAATTTTCTTCAATTACAAACTACAAATTACAATTACAGTTTACTAACTTAGTTCAACTACAATCACGAATTATAAATTACGTAATTGAATTACAAGTGTAATTACAATTACTTTGAAAATGCTAAACTGCTGAATTTATGTTTTTCTCTACTTTTGTTATGGGGAGCTTGTGTAATTATAATTTGGAAAGTAATTGAATTACTAAATTACAGCTCATTGACTGAATGTATGAACACATGGGGCTGCGGCCGTATCGCATAATAAAAAAAGGCATTTATTAAAGGCATTATTGAGAGATTGAGCGAATGCATGAACAAAGTAACGAACTTGGCGAGATGTGCCGAGCGCACCGACACCTACATATCAATATACCAGCCGACTAAACGTGGTCCACTCTGCATGCATGATATAAACTATGAGAAACATCTACTTATCAACATTCTGCAGATATGTGTGCAACTGGTGTCTCCTGCCACACACAGCACTGACTGGTAATGTATGTATGTCTGGAAATCCAGTCTGTCATGTATAAATAACACTATCCTCGTTACGTTGTAGCACCAGTTATAGCCTTGCAGAGCAAGAAGTACTTTATAACTTTACTACCGTAAAGCAGAGCAAAGTCGTACTAAAACATCTGTGTTTTAAGTCAAACAATTTTTTTTCCAAGGTGTCAAATATTGTGTCAAAGTATTTTCAAAAATATCGAACTAAGAATTTGACTTGTATCTTGCCAGACTAATCCTCGTGGTGGTATCGATTTGTCATTCCATCTTCTCCGAGTGGTCAGGTAAATATTATATTTTGTAAGCAAAATTTAACCTACCTGCATTTTACAGAGGCATTTATCACGTTATGCTAAGATTTCTTGCCAGGTAGAGTAAACAGTTTTAATAAATTCAAGACAAGATTCTCTCCATCCCTTTTTTAAATATAATCACACAATAAACTTAACTACAAAAGCGCGTATCTTATTCTTATAAAAAATGTAAGTTATGTCACATTTGCTCAGTCCATTAGAAACTTGTATAATGTATCCATAAATTGGAGTCGATTTGCAAGAAATCAAGTTGAGAGTGATCTCATGAAAACTATGGATTTCTTGGAATCAAAATACATATGGAAATATTATACTTGCGTGTAACAAACTTGTGTAAAAAGGAATTTTTAAGACTTCTGAGAAAAGTAAATTATTGCGTTTCTGGTCAATATGTGATATTCGAGAGTACAGCGATATGATAAATTTGTATAGTCACGTTTCCAATATGTCTACATATTAACAGTTGGTAAATTTGTGGTAAATCTTTAGAGTTTGAGAATATATTTTTTTACCATTACAATTTGTACGTTTCATATTTTTTATTATGGATTTGAAAATCATTGCACTTAAGTGTCTGAATGGCCTTAATGTGATGAATTTAAGGTACACTGTACTTATTGTATTCTATGAATTTACCATATTTATCCGTTTTTATCGTGATACCTTGGAAACATGAAGAGACCTTAATTCCTGATAATATATATGTAAGAGTGGAGTAGGGCAGAGTCGCGAAAAAAAGTATGTTTTGTTCAAATGAAGCACCAAATATTACACGGAGCTTAATATGTAATTTACAGGCTGCAATTTTTGCAAGATAATATTCCCAATATCAGTAATGCAGTTTGCATTATTTTTTATGCAGGATGAACATAGAACTCTAATTTTTCTAAGGTTTTTTTTATATAAAAAATTCGGTTTTTCCTAAAGTCTGAAAAATACGACTCTACTTGATCAATTTTCCGTATAAATCGCTTCTGTGCGTAAATAGTTGGGTAATATTTACATAATATCTTATGTTGTGTCTTTCTTTGGTTTCATGATATTAAAAAATTTATAATTTTTCTACTTAATTTACCCTACTTTGAGTAAATTTTGAGACGCTGAGCATACTCCTTTGTACCAAATGTGCTTAAGGGTCTAGCTAAAATTGCATTGAATTACATTGAATCCTTCAGTACCATGCACACCTTAGTAACCACACCCGACTTGCCCACTGGGTGTCACTCGCTAGCGAGAATGGGTGGATGGAATTCCAAAATTCTCATTTCATAATTTTTGTGTGATGTAGAGCTAGTGCAGTTTTCTTGGAAAACTTTTAGAAATGAAAGGAAGACACTAAAACAATTCATTAATCATATAATTTAAATGAAAATTTTTCTTAAAATTTCGAATTTATTAAGTATGTATATTGGTTATCTTTAAGTTTTGCAAACCCAGCTTCAAAACTTCACTAGTATAACTAATTATGCTCACAATGACACCAAAAGCAGTATTATATCTGTTCTGGAACCTCTGGGCCAACAACACCCGTGAAAAAAACATGTATGCATATTTTCTTTTGTTGCATGTCAATCACACACCCGATTTTGCAATGGATGGGTGGATTTTGTACAGGAGAAAATATGCTACACTTCCTATTTGAGTCTTGAAATTGTGTATGACCAAATGAGTGAAATAATTTAACTTGCAAATTTCGTAATTATTGGTTACATAAAGTATTTACTATTCCCCCTTAAAATTTTCAAACTTTTTGTAAATTAGTAATAAATAAAAACTTGTCAACTTGCACAAATCTGTGGTGTGCCAAAGGTTTAAGTAAACAAGCTTGCCAAATCAGATATGGGAATTGCCTTCTTTCCATGAAATCCATTGTGACTCAACGTCGTTATTTTATTGCCTGCGTGATCTCAACCAGTGTTCAAATGACATAATCGAGTTCAAGGTTAATTCTCCAAGAGTATTCTAACTCATATAAAATCAATTAAAGAACAATGTGTGAAAATATCCACGTCGTAAATAAATTAGCCAACATGTGTCTGGTATGTTTTACGGGATAAAAAAATATTTCTTTAGACAAAACTTATACGGCCAGTATTCACTTTTTGCACACGTTAGTTCAGAACATTACATAGATCAGAAAATGAGCAAAAATAATATGTATAATAATTTCACAGTTTGGGTCAACAATGTCATACTTCTCCTTACCTTAATTTTGTCGAATTCTGTAGAAAATTAGATTTTTTAAAAAGTTAAAATTTGTAAGGAAACTAAATTTTCGGTGATGAAACGTTACGAAATACAAAATGATTCCTAAAACTAATTATATAAATATTTCGCAAAAATGCAACTCATCTTGGTTATGCAAATATAGTAAAAAATTAATTTATATAAATTTTTTAGCACTTTTTAAGACTATTTTTGATACTGGCTTGTAAAAAAATTATTATGTAATAATTTTGTGTTTTTTTTACCAGAAAGAAAACTGCATCGAACCTTATTGTTTTCATGGGGACGATAAGTTTATTAAAATTTTGGTTTCATTTCAATATTCAAAATATGGTAAAACATCACGGCCATTAGATTTGTGTCAGGAGTTTGATTCTGAAAAATTTGCCAGTTTTGCAACGCCATATGTGGGATTGGCTTATTTTGCTTGATAACGATTCTGTATCAACTTTGTGATTTGAACGTTCCAGAAATTCCAGTTCTCGCATGATAAATAAGGCCAAAGTCCATGCTTCATCGAGGCGTGATCTAACTTGTGTTAAACACCATTATATAAATAAAGTCAAATCTTCCCTGCATTTATTTAAACGGGATAAAATTCTTCTTGAAAGGCTTCATGGTGTAAATATCGCAATCATGGAATATGCAGGTTTCACCCTGTCAGTAAAATTGGGGAAGAATTTGATCCCGTTTTTATACACAGAACATACTTAATAGGCTTACATTGTGGCGATACATACATTTATCTGTAGATATCTACGAATATTACTCCACTCAATAAATATATACAATAAAACCTTGTACGTACGTATAGTAAGTGATATGCAAAAATCAACTCCTCTGTCTATAAACTCCATACATACATCAGTTTAATTACCTATACGATAAGACCACCTAAAGCTGGCCAACTGTGATATGAGATTTGCCAAACTTTGATCAAGTAAATTGTGACGCAACCTCATTTTATTTTATTGCGATAAATTATACCAGCCTTTACAGATCCAGTGGTCGTACATATTACATAACCCAGTTTACATAAGTTTCATTCTCTCGTGGTGTTGTCCAACTCACATTAAAGAATAATGTATGCAGTTGTATATTGTAAATATTTATGTACATAACTTAGTCAAGTTGTGTCTTTTCCTCATGTATAATACGTGCAAACAATATTTCATAATTATGTACACAGTTTACTAAAATAAAGCAAAATTATATAAATTGGATAGTAATTTAAGTATAAGTAATTACATTTTCTTCTAATTTCAGAATTTTGTCAACTTTCTGGTTCGAAAAGAGAAATTTTTTTTACCGGTTTGCTAACTAATTTCATCTGTCTTAAAAATATTCTGCAATACGAGGATTATCCGATTGTTCTAGGTAAGTTAAATTATCAATATTAAATACAGTGGGGGTATTCAAGGCCAACTTTCGCATGATTTTGGTTATTGGTCATTAAATCAATTTATGGGATTGAATTAATACGTAGTATGGATAAATATAATAAATAATTATATTTTGAATAAGATTTATAGATCGGGTAATAATAATTATGGATTAGAGTCAAATATTTTACGAATTAAATTCGCAGTTCTTTTCTATGATAATAAACGTTACTAAAGTTACAAACTTTCAATGTGAAATCTCCCAAAATATTTTAATTATTCGTAGGCGTAACGTAAGGGTTTTTTAAAATTGTGTATTTTAGCCAAAATTTCTTTAAACTGAGCTAAGCTTAGAAACGTTCATAAATATCTACCAAAATATGTATTACCCAGATAACCTTTGCAAAATCAGAGTAATCATCATGCATGATGATGTACAAGTGGGATTTAATTGAGTCACTCTTAAAACCGCATTTGACCCCAGAACTTCGCGTAAGCGTGCCCTTTGTAGTCTTAAAATTTTCTAAATACTTAATCTTTTCAAAAATTAGTTATTTAGATTTACGTAATTAATTTAAATTATTCAAATCTTATTCATATTCAGAGCATTGCTTGAGAGAAACCACCTGCACGAATTAAATGCAAGAAATGCATAAATAAGCCACTTTTTGCAAGAAAGGCAAAAATATAATTTTACAATTATTATACCTAATAACCAGACTTAGGATATTTATTTATTTATTCTTAAAAAAATATTTTTTTATACTCATATTTTGATTGTAACTTATTTGTTTCTTAACTGAATTGCCTATAATTTTCTACGGAAGCTTACAATCATGTGAGCATTGCGTTAGGAAAAAAATTGAATAAATACTTCTCTAATATTTCGAGTTATAAAAAAATATTTTTTATCTACCATGTTAAATAAAAATATTTTTTTATAACTCGAAATATTAGAGAAGTATTTATTCAATTCTTATCCTAACGCAATGCTCACATGATTGTAAGCTTCCGTAGAAAATTTCAGGCAATTCGGTTAAGAAACAAATAAGTTACAATCAAAATATGAGTATAAAAAAATATTTTTTTATGAATAAATAAATAAATATCCTAAGTCTGCTAATAACAGATAATAGTTTCGCCAAACTGCAACCATTTTTTTTATTCTATCAATGATACTAAGTCATAAGTCGTATTTTAATTTAAAACTGATCACATCTCGCTATCGGAATCTCAAACCGTTTTCGTTTTTTCTTTCGCGATTCTCGTGATATTCCATTAACTGCTTGAAAATATTGATGAATTACATATAGTTTCAGAGCTTTATAAATTTGACGACCTTCTCACAAATTTGTTAGTAAATATATTTCCCAATGTTGAGAAACTTTTTTAAGATTTTAATGAATTGGATGAATTAATCGATTGTCGTTATCTGGAATAATAATTTATGATTCCGAGTTCGATTCGTCAGAATTGATGATCCAGGAATAGAACCTGGATCATTCATTGCTTCAAACTCTTAATTCAAATGTTAATTAATTAATTATGCCCTATATTTATTGTTTACAGACCAATTTGTAAATCGTATAAAGTATCAGTATACTATCTAAATAACTTATTGAAATAACTGCCCTTCCGTCACTCATAATTTCTTCCGTCTCCCTTTCTAATTGACTTTTTGATGCATTATTGTCGTCATTTTCTATAAAGTAATTCAGCCCAAATTAAAAATATATCGTACAAAATTGGTACCACAAAGTGATATATCCAAGAAAATACTTAACCGAATCAGTTAGAGTTGCTCTTATTTCTTGGGATTTCACAAAAGCCAGCTGTAAGTCGGTCGGTTAGGAGTCATTATTAATAAATTACTCGAAAATAGGGTAGACCACGTTTTATTTTATGCAACATTATTTTATTAACAATATAGACAATAAGCTGACAAAATAGCATTTTACGACTACCGCTGAGTCAGGTTTCAGTTCTTGCAGTTTCTTGCAACTTACAGTTCAGTATTTATTTCTTGCGCAAGAAACGATGCTCTGTTCATATTCAGGGTTTCGTTTATACCACTTTTTCAAAACGCCGGTGGTATAAACCGGCATAAACTGGCATAAACTCTGTGATTGGTCAATACAAGGCGGGTTCAATATAATTAGGGTTATGATAGAATTTACTCTTCAAATTGAGTTTTTTAATTCCAATAGTGCAAACTAGAAAGTAGTATGGCCATGATAACATTTCCCATACAAGTATTTTGAGCTTTCTACATACATATGGTCGTTAAAAAGTGCAAGTTTTCTATATAATTAACTTCCCTTCCACCAAAGCCTGCCACATGATTTATTTGTTTTACTAAAGAAATTAATTAATAATTCAACTATGTACAACTATACTATATGTTACATCGTGAGATTATTGATACTTGCTAATTTAAAGAAAATTTAGTTATCGCAATCAATGTAATGTATAAAATCAAAGGAAAGGATAGAATGAGATTACTTGATCATTTGCATTTCATTACCATTCTTCCCCACGTTCACACCTTACTGTTTACTATTTTAGGTTTATGCCAGTTTATGTCAGTTTATGCCAGTTGAGTAAAAATGGTTTATACCGGTATTAACCAGTTTATGCCAGTCAGTTTATGCCACTGGTTAATACCATGACCAAACCTTGTTCATACAAATTGTATGAACAAGTATTTGTATTATATGTATTCTCTAACTAAAACATTTCACCAGTATTGGTTTGCCTTCAGTTAAGAGAATTACTTATATATTTTCTTAATTTTTTCACGCCGAAGTGAAAATATCAAATATTGCGATGTTTCGAGATTCCAGAATACCAATATCGATTTTTGAATATCAAAATATCGAGTTTTTAAAACACCCAGAAAAGCGTTTGTGATTTATAATTTAGTAATTTTTAATGGTCAAATTTAATGATCAATTTCAATGGTCTTATTTTTCCCACAACCACCCTCCATGCGGTGTAAACTTGTAAAGTCTGGGTAAAAGTGAGATTCATGCAGGAATCAGATGAAAGACATCAATTGAGTTTCGGTTAGGTTAGAAATGCGAAAAGCGGGAAAATCTCACTTTGCCTCCAAAATCTCCAAACGCCCCTGTGTACATAAATCTCACCTCCTATACCGAAATCAAACAATCACTTCCTTCGGTGATCATCATAGCGTATTATAATTTAAAAAACTTAATTCTAATTTATGTTTAAAGTTGGTATTTTATTTTTGAAAATATGCTCGAGGTTAAAATAATGTATGGACAGTATAGTATGGAACTGCGCTCTCTAGCGGAAATTTTGAGTAACACTAACAATTATCAAAAACAAAATTGATTTTCTGAAAGAGTATTTTATTGGGCATAATTTGATGTATCACTTGTAATTGTGCATTATGGATAAAGGTAGAAAAACTTGGACTGAAAGGAGACAGTTAGCGACAAAAGTGATCGATTTTTATAAAAATAAGGCTGGTAGGAACTCGACAACCACGTGGAATTTTTTTAAGCAAGAAAATTTCCCCAAGACAAATGTGTATTCTTATATAAAAAAGTTCAAGGATTCCAAAAATGTTGAATTTAAAAAGCCAAGTGGTGGTCCTGTAAAGTTAGGAACCAACAAAGTCGGAAAAATTGCAAAAACGAATTTGATGGCAAGTTTTGGAAAGAGAATTGCACAACTCTAGGAAGGAGGCGTGGAATCTTTAGACATTAAGTAATTTAGAAAGGTTATTAGTTGCTAATATACATATGCAAGGGATTTGTAATTTCACAAAATATTTCTAATACTATATACATTCGTTTCTCACAGTTCCATACTATACTGTCCATAGTATATGTAATATACTTTATTTAATTTTCTTATCCTTTAACTAATTTGTGCAATATTTTTATTTATGAATAATTGATAACGCGTACTACATTTGAGATATTAATGACCTCCACTAGAGGACATATAATTGAAGGTTAATATTTACATTACTAAAGTAATAATAGTTATTATTCGTAATTATTTATTTCAGCATCAAGTAACAATTTGAGGAGAAAGTGTTTATCAAACATTTATTTTACGCAGATCTGGTCCCATTTGTGAGGTGAGAATCTTCATATTCTTACTCCAATGGTTTCGGATTAATTTAATAAATATATACATATATATATTTTAAAGTAATTGTCACAGTGTCTGAACATTGAGGGATGACCGGGCTACAAGTCAGCCTATACTAGACAACCAGCTTATGACTATATATAGATCATGGGTTCTGGATGGCGTGAGGTATGCAAGAAATTATACATGCTAAAAATCAAGCACAAATAGTTTGTAGCATTTTGCATTACATTACATGTTCTAATAATAAGCTATAAAACCAGAAAGTATTATTTTACGAGATCAAGTGTTAAGTAATAATAATCGACTTTTTTTCAAGATAACGCCAACAACCCGAATCTTCCATTGAGGAGGTTACTCCATAATAATTCGCCTCGTGCCATTGTCCAAATTTGCTTTTTACAAAGTTTTTGACAGGTTTGTATAAATTATTTTCGTAATGACATTTTTTTCAAATTGTCCCACAATTTATAAAATCCTAATAAATACGGTATTAATGCTTTATTAAATAACAGCTTCAACAATGGCCACAATGTCGCAACCTTCCATATCAAACGTCTCAGTCGAGGATATCTTTACCCAATTTTCCGGCGATATTGACTCCATCCGAGGACTTTTGGAAACCCAATGGTTAGCAATTAGGGACCAACTAAATTCCACATCGTGTCAAAAGGTTAGCGAGCTGCTTTCCATGGTGTCCCGCCAATCTGGCCTTCCACCCATAATTACGGCACGCATAATGGATTTCATTTTGGAAAAAGTTTCGAAAAATTTCGAAAACAAAAACATTGTTCTTCGCAAACTATGCGAAACAGTGAAATATGCGGTTCGCCATAATCTACAGCAACTCGATGAAACTCTAGATAACTCCATACTTACCAAGATAGCGAACACCATACTTAAAACGTTGCTGAAAACAGACGATACGCAAAGCCAGGCCTACCTTATGGAAACTCTGACCCAATTAGGACCTCAACTTTTAAGAGATCCATCAACCATGAAAAATATCAAGTCAGTCCTTTCTAAAGTCGGGGTAACTTCAAGTTTCTCTGAGAATGAGAGAAGACAAATTTTGGAGAGGATAAATTCGTCAAATCGTCTCTCCCGCCTGAACAAATGTCACAGTCAATCCGACCTCTTCAAACTGATTGAGAAAGAACAAGCGCAACACAGAGTCTTTCACAGGTCTCCGTCTTCCGGAACGAACAGTTATTTATCAGTCCACGTTTCCCAGCAAGTCTCCACCACCATTAATTACAACAGTGAGAAGAACGCGTTACGCGTAATGAATTTGTGTGACTCGTTCAAACACAGGAATGACCTGCTCCAGCAAGAGACAAAGGTTGATATTTTACCAGAAAATATAAACCTTTTAAAAGATGGGACCGATACTCGTTTCTATAAAGATACTTACGGTGAAGTGAAAACTTTATGGGATTTAGCGGAAACATCGGAGAACGAGAATCCAATAAAAATAGATGATTGGGATGGCTATCTCGCACAAAAATTACTCGGAGCTCATTACTGGTACAAGATTTTTGTCTTATTGAAATACCGCGATATTGATGTAGACTCTCTAATTACACGCCTCTTCCAAAAATATGCCCATAATACAAAAATCCCGTTTGAAACGGTGGACAAATGTTTCAAAATTATTGCTCCAGCTATCGACAAAAATGCGTTTATTGCAAACTTTAACCTCCGGTATAACCACGAGTATGAAGGGTTTACAATCGATAAACTTGTTGGACTTAGACTATTTGCGGTACAAATATTACAAATTGCAAGCCGGAGGAATTGGGTGATTTTTACCGAAGATCGCTTAAACATGCTGCGCGGATACTTGGGAAACTATAGCACTTACCTAAACGCCGATTGGAATACGTGGAAAAAATGGAAATTGGAAAAGAAACCAACAACGGAGGAAGAAATTCGGAGAATAAAGGCCAACTTGATCAACATCAGTGACATCATGGATGATATCATTCGTCAAGATGATACCAATGCGAGCTACATAAGTCTTGCTGAAAATGGAATTAAAGGATTAACAGATTCCGAGAGAAATCTGACAGATGATCAAATTGCTACATTTGCGAAATCCATTGAGAGAATTGTTTACCAGGATGGTTCCCTTGTAGAAAAAATTTTTACGCAAGATTTACTCTCAAATTTAACATCCATCATGACAAGTACAGAGTCAGAACCTGCAAAAAGGAAAGCGTGCAGGGGAATCGTTTCGTCATACTTGACCAATGTAAGGATAGGATTGTTATCTTCAGACTTGTTACGCCCCTGCTTTGCTGCCCTACTGGAGACCGGTCTAACAGAAGACGACATATCTGGAATTTTCGCAATTTGCATTCAGGCCTTGGATAAGTTAAAACAAACCCAGGCGATTGAAGACAAAGATATCTACGAATTTTCCAAACCTCTCCTCGAATCGATGGGACGGACCGAAAGTGTTCCAAACTGGAACGAGTACGTGGTCTTGGCGGTAAACCAATTTTTTGAAGATGTGCCTGAAACCAATTATGGTAAAATCGTTCCAAACATGTATTTGATCAGAATGATGAATTCCACCCAATTCGTGCAAACTAATCAAACCTCGAAACAAATTGAGTTCGTAGAGGAGCAAAATGACTCCGAATCTGCAACCCCGATGTCACTTCAAGCTTCAAATCTTGTCCAATTCCTTATCCAGACGGGATCAATAGAGTGGCACGAGTTACCTGCAGGTGTAACCATCGCTGATTTTATAAATCCTTTGATAAATTCGACCTGCCCACAGACGCGAATTCGTACCGCTACAATTTTAGGATACTTAAAAGACTCCATCGCATTGGATGAAAATACTCCACTACTACCAACTTTAAGAAGTCTGCTAACTCTCAGACAGCGATATGGAGAACCGGAAGACGTAATATTTTGGTGTTCCGCAATCTCTACCTTGTTCTCCCTCAGAATCACTGAGCGCACTCCGGCTGATGAATTAAGACAGGAAAAAGATTTAATTATGGCTCCCATATCCTACTTTAATTTAGCCGGGTCGACTTTGGATTATCAATATGAAGATGTCGGAACAAATGTTAACACACAGATTTTAGCTCTTGCCGAGGAAGCCGGACATAAGGGGATCATATCAAAAAACATTTATCCAATCGCTGACATCATTCTGGAACAATGCTCAACCTCCTCGTCCGATTATGTTAGTCGAGTGTTGCGCATTCTCCAGATAATGACCGCGATGGGGGATAACCTCCCCGAGTCAACATTGTCTAAATTGGATGTAGCCTTCGAAACAGAAGAAGCAACCGTGACAAGCCAAGTTTTTCAAATTTGGAATAATTGCATAAAAAATCAACAGACAATTAGTAACTTAGCTATTGGACATATTAGCAAATTCTTATACAAGACTACCACCGAGTATGAGAGAGACATAGCTTTTCAAATGTTACAGAAAGCATTCTACAATCAAGATTTGGAACCGCAACAATATAACACATTTATTAAAGAACTTACCCTACGAACCGTTAAGGAAAAAGGGGGACAATTTATTTCAACCCGTAATCTACTCGGTCGGCTCACCTTTCTCAAAACCAAACTTGGAGAAAGTGGATCGCATGAATTAACTATGAATAATTTACACTGCCTACAACAAATCTTGGGTGAATCAGCGCCTCAAAATTTACCCGATTTTACTACCGTTCAACTTCACAGTTTACACTTGTTGGCAACGGCGGCAGAAAATGGTCAGAATTTCCCAGATACGAAATTATTACTGGAAACCATCATAATTGACAAAGTTCTTAAAGTCGACATGAATTTGGACTTATTGGCAAGCGTTGCCCACCTATTGCTGGCTTTCCAAAATAAAAACAGAACGATTCCAGGGTCATCTAAATTAATGGGGAAACTTGAACAGATCATTTTCAAGCTGGCCGAAAACGGCAAGATGACACTATTCTGTGACATATTTCGCATTATTGCAAATATTACGAAAACTGAGAAAAAACAAGATCCCAACTATCAGATGAATCAAACCATCCTATCCTACGTTTTGACAAAAATAAAGGAAAATAAAGTAGGGGAAGATTTTTTGCGAGATTTAATTCCACTTTTCTGCGACGTTTTGACCAACTTGCCCGAAACGTCCGGCATTTTTACCGACCTCGTCAACTACTACAACGAAGTATTAGGTACATACAATAGCGACACAAATCTCGACATTTCCAGCATCAAGGGGATAATCCATGGTATTGAAACGCTAGGAGCGAAACTTCCCGATCTTGCTTCGCTTATCCAGAAAATTATCGACCTTGCACAAAACGTGGATGATTATCAAATTAAGGCAGAACTTGTACAGTTCCTTGAAACCTGTCCACATACCAAAAATCTTCTCAATGACGCGCAGAAAATTCAATTGGTTCAAATAAGGCAAACCACAGACCCGATAAGTGTTCTAAAATCATGGAAAACTGAGCTGGGCAAAGTTATTCCGAAAGAAATAACTATTCGTCGAGGACTTGATGCCGTCTGTTCTATTTTAGATTCCAAAAAAGTACATCACAATTCCGCCCCAGAATTTGACTCCTTAATAGAGGATACATTGCAAAATTTGAACAATACGATTAAACATGCGGGAATCCGAAATATTTTAAAAATTGAAAAAATTCGAAAGGAAACCATTTCTCGAGTAATTTCCATCCTGATAAGGAATTGTGATTCAGACAACTCGCCCCACGATGAATTAATCGTTACCATACTACGAACCTATTTTGAAATTTTGCAATCCCAAAGCCCCATTCAGATTTTTCAACTTAGCAAAAGTGATATTGCCATATTGTGTGGGCACGTCCGAAAACTAGAATCTGGAACCATCAACAAAAATGAGTATACCAATTTAATCAGGAACTGCATTGCGTTCCCATGCATACAAATTGATCCAGAGTCTGCATCCGAAATTCAGAAAATATTGGATTTTAATCAAATTTTTCAAGACACTCCGGCAGCAAACTGCCTCCCCGATTTGGACAATTTACTACAAAATTTTATAAAACAACGAAATTACACAGTTTCTCGGGAGGATCGACTAAAGTACATGACAGCTGGGGAAACACTCGTAAATTCCATTGAACCTGAAGTGCACCAAGGGCAAATTGTAAATTATGCGAAACACCTCTCAATCTTTGAAATTCGGGACAATACCGACATCTCGATACAAATGAATCAATCATCAGTTTTGAAATTTGCCGAATTTATGAGACAAGTGATACCAATTTTATGCAAGAATAGTGACCTCCTAAATCCATACATCGTGCCGGGGTTGACAAGAAGTTTGCAAATTCTGAAATCTGATTGCCATAAGTCTGGGACAAAATTAGAAGTTGGAACGTTCTTCAACCTGATTAATATTATTGAACAAAAATTCGGTGGAAACGGAGTAAAAGATATTTGTAAATTTGACTTTGCCCTTCAATCCCTGAAAGCCTGTCGGGACGAGGATGACTTCAGTCAGATTACAGTTTCAAATATAAGAAATATTTTTAAAACCGGAGTACAACACGGTGCCCATCCCTTGGTCAAGTTCACCGTTTATCATGGTTTTTCAAAAATTCTCTCTGGACATCCACACCCTCAAGTTGAATCATTAATCAAACAAATTATTGGTGAAGAGGGAGCCAATCAATTGAAAAAACTTTGCACTCTGAGCCTCACACCTGGATCGACACAAGTTAATGACGCCGACGAGATCAATCTATTAAAAGGAACGTTATTATCGTACAGTGATGAAGCATTGGATTTTACTGGTCTCAACGAATTATTCACATATCATCAAAATGATAAGGCTCCACACGAATTTTTGCAACTACTCCTCGCTGCCCTCTTGCGAGGATCAGTGACGCCGAGTGACATCCCAGAAATCATTGCTCTAACACAAAATCTCGGCTTTTTAACCGCTGCTGGATTTTTGTCTGAAACATTGTGTCCATTCCCATCCAGCCTGGTGTACCACATGGCAAGATATGCAGTACAATCTAGCCAACTGTCAACAGAGATTTGTAATGTGGCCAAGAACGCGTTAGATTGGGGACTAAAGTTCACCACAGTTCAGCAAATATTGCAAAAAAATTGTGAAGAAAATACCATAAGTACAGATTTACTTGCTGTATTCACCCATCTAAAGGATTACTACGATTTATCCACTCTCCATAACGATTTAACCCAAGCAATGAAGACCACAGATCCACGCCAAACTTTGATAGAATTGCAGACAAAAACGTTACTCGGAGCGATACCAGAAATCAATCCAAGAACTCGGGACAATTTCAGGTCTCTTTTAAAGAAAGGATTCAACTTTGAAGATTTAAAAAGGCTCGTTGTATCTGCGGTGGGTCATAAAATCACCCCACAATCAGGTCAACCTTTACCGAAAGGAAACAATAATTTAACATTGGAGAAACTGGTACAACTCCTTGATCAATTTATTGTCAATGATGACAAGAAATCAGAACAAATTATGGCACAATTTATGAAGATAGTGGAACGAAGAGATGTCAAAAAAATGTTGAAAAGTATCACTGCTATTTTGTTAAACAACATATTTTCCAGTAAACAAAAGCGGTCTAGCAAAGAGCCAAAGAATTTGGAGGAGATTTGTTCCGAATTTGCGATTCAAAACCCAGATTTTATCAAACAACTTACAACAAAAATATCAAACACTCCAGGAGAAACTGAGATTTCAGTAGATAAAAGCGCAAAAATGTTGATAAATATCATTTCTTCGATCCGAGCAACTAAAAAAGTTACACAACCTTTGGTTGAAGTTGATTTACAAGAGTGGACCCGTCAAGCCTTCCAAGACTGGGGGAAATCTGTTAAATCGAACTGGAAAATATTGTCATCCCAAGAAAATTTTTTAATTGAAACGCTCGCCGTTTTAGCCCAAGCTAACAAACTCAGTTATGGTTATGAGCTTACGGACAGTCAACTCTTATGCATATATCTGTCAGTTTCTCGACCTGGGAAGAATTCGAAGGGATTACTTCAACAATTGGTGACCGGTGGGGGCAAATCAGCCGTGATACGAATTCTTGCAGCGCTTTCTGTACTATCTGGTAATAAGGTAGGCACAAATAGATATCTATGGTCGGTGTATTGTAACGAGATCAAATTCAGGTTCAATTTTTATGAGAGGCTAAACTCTGCCCTCATTTCTATTGGGGTATGTGTCCGACTAATCCTAAGCCTTGGCCCGAGAATTTACTCCAGTTTAAATACGCCAACGATAATTATGTATATGATAAGGATTAGTATATAGAAAAATACGAAAAAATTATATAGTTATACTTTTCTACACAGGTTTTTGTCTCCACAAGTAATTCTGTCCTGGCACAGAGAGACTCATCCGAGGCGGCCGTATTATTCCGATATTTCAACATTACATCAGATCACAATAAAGATAAAGGAAACTACATCACAGGTGCGAAAACTTGTTACGGAAAAGACGTCGTGTTTGGGGAAGCGTGCCAATTTCAATTTGACATTTTACGACACGAATTCGGAATACTGACCACGTTAGGAGACATATCAAAAAGTAGTGATGCCGTGTCATTCGATAATCATGTTATTTTTGTCGATGAAGTGGATTTCCTCTTGATTGATGAAAGTTCAAAGTTTGCCCGTCTTTCTGCCGACCTGCCCGGATTGGACTTGCTTGAGCCGATATATCACTTCGTATGGGACAAGTTGTGCTCGATGCAGGATCGAATTTTTACCACCGATGGGATCAATACTTACCTAGCATTTGGAAAGCTAGTGAGAGATGAGGAAGGAAAATTAATGCTTGAAACGATCCAATCAATTGGGGAGGAACATGATCAAATTGTCCATCTCGATATTTGTGAACTTATTCGGACCAACGAGTACCATGATTATGCAGTACAAATTAAATCAAATATTGCCACCTTTATTCAGACAAGTTTGGAAATTATGTTGGAAAAGTGGACAGGAATAAAGGTTTCACCAAACCTCAACCCTATCACATTGAGGGACAACCCTTGCCTTCAAAAACTCGCGGAAAAATCAATTCCATCCGAATTTCAGATCAAGATACCCTCCCATTTGCTAGACTTCGTTGCCGGCCAAATACCAATTTGGCCAAAAAGTGCAATCATCGCTCTCTTCGAATTTAGAGAAGGTGTCAATTACATCGTGGATGACGGAATGATTAAACCAGTAGATTTCGAGAGTACTGGAATGATTCGTGGGAATCAAAATTGGGGTGACGGAGTACAACAATTCCTCCAACTAAAGCATAATTTAGCCATTTCACCAGAAACATTGGCGACAAATTATATGTCAACCATCTCATTTTTTAGAAGATTCACATCTCAAAATCTTTTCGGATTTACGGGAACTTTTGGATCTTCCGCGGCGACGAAGTTTGTTGAAAATGTGTTCAACGTAGACACCGTTCTGACACCGGCATCACATTGGAAAAACTTTCATGAGTACGAAACCCTCACGAGGGACAATAAACAAGATTGGATGGATACGATTGTGGACAGTGTTGACCTCGAACTTACTAAAGGGAGAGCGGTCCTCATCGTTTGTAGAAGTATACGAATGGCTTCAGAAATACGTCGGGCTATCCGAAATTCCAAACTAAACTATCATAGTTTACGAATGTATACTAAAAATAATACGGATGAAGACAAACACGTAGAACGTGTGGTTCCTGGAGATATAATTATTGCAACGAATCTCGCAGGTAATTGTAAATTTAAAGTGTGCATTAAAATTCAAGTAAATTTTTGCAGTTGGATTTCATATTTTACTATTTCTCACCTACCCAGGACGCGGAACGGATATCAAATCATCCCCGATGTTGGAAAGTAATGGCGGTCTCCACATCTGTATGACGTTCCTCCCTCCAAATCTTCGAGCCGAATGGCAAATCAAGGGCCGAACCGCCCGCAACGGAAACTACGGAACGGCACAGTTCATCATTTATACGTCTACATCAGGGCACCAAATTTCTGATCAGAACGCGCGGGACGAGTTGGAGAAGCGCGCACTAAATGATTTTGAAACTTTGCAACTGCCAACAATTGAACTTAAGGAGACATATTTTAGAGAGATGTGCGAATTTCTTTCAAATTTGAGAACAAAACTTAAAGACCATGATACACTGAAGAGAAAATTTTTATCAAAATTATCCCTCATCGGGATGACACCGGCTCCATCAGCTTTTGAGAGATACATCATGGCATCCGTAGAAGAGCTATGGGCCTTATATGTCAAGCGCATCGACCACAAGATTTGTCCCGACGCACAGAATCCCAAACAATTAACAGAACGCGAATTGGAATCGGTTAAGACCCAATTTTCAAACTTTTTCAAAGAATTATCCCAAAAAATTTCTACGTGCAAGACAAACCTAGATTTCCTACAAGCTTTTGTGAAGAATCCATTCTACTCTATACGTATCGGAAACGCTGCTTTATACAACGGAGAAACTGACATTTCTGGCTGTATCGTTCCCTATTTTCAGCACGCTATCGACCTAGACCCAACTTTCGCATCAGCCGCATATGTCGGGCAAGGGTGTTGCTTTATTCGACACGAAAAGAGAAATTGGTACAGCATTGGGGCTCAGGACAAATATTGTGAAAACTATAAATCCGAGGCTACCCAAAAATTTATCAAGGGAATTCGACAGCTCGCTCTCCAACAAAGCTACGTCTCCTTCGCCTTCACTCTATTACATGAACGGAATATGGAAACTTCTCAATCTTCATACCCAAGTGATAGCTACGATTGCGAATTAGCGATTCAACTGAATCAAAAATACGTTATCTTGGGGAATTATGTGAATGGGGTTAAAGCCATGATTGAAGTAATTAAGGAGTCCGAGCGCCTCATCGACTTAGTCGTCCATCAATCCTCCACCAATTCTGTAAATTATTTCAATCTTCCTCGCCAAGCGGATAGTCCTTTATGGCAGTTAGATCCTAACACTGATGTCGATGTCACAATGAAACACCTCACGCAGGATACAGACCTCGTGAATAAAGACCAGATTCAAGATGTCGTTGACCATATTATGAAAAGACATCCCGAATTTGATTTCAAGACCCACGGACGACTACTTATTAAAGCAGAGACTACATCACAACTGGTCAGCTTATTGGATGATAACTCATGCCAGGTAGGCTTGAGTAAGCAAGATTGCGTTAAATATTTGGAATCCGGAGGTTGGAAGACAATGTTAAGGAAATTCATACCATTAATTCCCGATGGGAACAACATCTATTTTACAATTTTGGATCCAAACAACGTCCCCCTGTCTAGGGAGCAAGGGCCATTCACAGTAAAGAAAGCAGTTGAAGAAATCAAAAAAGTAAACCAACCCGAGGTGAAATTCTCTCTTCGAGTACCAACAAATGTGCCCAACTATTATGACCAAGCCAGTTATAAAGTGGTGCTGAAACGGTTTACCAGTTTTTCAAAGTTAGCCACCCATTTACACAATAATCTAACTGAACAGATTTTGATAAAGGCAAGCGGCAAGGGTAGCAAGTTGGTCAACTTTTTTGACACCGTACTGTCAAAGATAGAATTAGAGCAATTTCGTGCTTACGACTTTTCCGAAGACGAGGATCGTGTTGCTTCCACATTGATTAGAAACCCTAGTCAATTAGATCTAACAGAAGGGCAATTGAGTGCGTTTGACTTCATTGTGCGAGGAACCCAGGTTGACATATTATCGTCTATCGAAACATTTCCGGGTCTCGTGTTTGACGTGACGGTTGGTGAATCCGATCTGATAGCTCGTTCCCAGCTTGAACCGTATCTCAAACTTCACACGGGTGAGGCAGAACTAGAAATTGCAGACTGCGAGTGGATCCACTTGAAAAACATTTTAAGTGAAATACGCCAAGCTAAGATGGAGGTCAGTTTGCGCTTCGTGACAATTACGTCTCAATTTGCCCAAGAAATTTTAACCGGGTTGCAATTAAAGTCGGAGCATGTAGATATTTCCAAAATTAAAAAACTCTCGGATAATTGGACACTTGGTTACACCCCTGCCGAATTGCAACCGATAATTGGACGTGGCTTGGAATTGATCATTCTCTTAAATGAGCGACCATTCATCCCGTACTACAGTATCACGGCGGTCTGTGCCTTAGGATTGGTTCAAATAACCGCGGCTGGAATACTCGTCGCGACCGGAGTCGGCGTGCCATTTGCAATTCAACTCATGATTGAAGGAGTCTCCGATCTTTTCTACGCGAGTAGGGTTTACTCCAATAGAAAATTTGACATGAAATCATTTGCTGTCCAGAAATCATTAAGCTTAATCATTTCTACGGTTAGTCTTGGTTTCGGCGCTGCATCAAATGTTGCCACAGGAGTGGTAACAGAAGTAGGAGAGCAAGGCATGGTTCGCGTGATTCTCAATGGGAAAACAATCGGACAAGTGGTCGGACAGTGTTTCACAAATCTGCAAAACTTTGGAGCCCGCGAGGCTGGAACTGTCATAGTAGAAATGACAGCACGAGAATGTTTTTACAGTTTGAACTCCCAAGCGACAGAATTTATTGCAAACTCTGTCGGCTTAGAGGATATAGTAAAGTCTAACTTTGCTACACAGTTGGCTATTCGAGCAAAAACGAAGAAACTTGAGCACCATCTAACCTTAAACTTGGACAGATTGAGTACCATTTCAAAATTGATGACACGAGATACAACATCGCTAAGAAACCTGGTTAGATTTTTCGCGCAAGAAGTAACCCAATCAACCGAGACTAGTTGGAAACGGCAGGTTGGAGCGGTTGGGGCCTTAATTTCGAAAGCCGTTGGGGGAAATGGAGCCCTACTTCAGACTTTCTCACTTGCCGTAACTGTCATCGGGATAGGGGCAGGGGGTAGCGAAATTTATGCGATGATAGACACTTTTTGCGACCAGTTGGAACAGAAATTATTAAATTATGGAGATAGGGAATACTCCATGGAAAAAGTGCTTCAATCCAAGTGTCGCTTAGATGACGGAGAATCACTTTCCTTGCACAACTGTAGAGCATTTGCCAACTCCATTGCTGTCAACTGTCCTCCACCTCGTGGTACTGGGGGTAGGCAAAAAATAACACTTATAATTTTTCAATGGAACAAACTAATTGATTTAATTAACTTATAATAAGGTTCTGCTCCCTACATTGATTGGGTTATGCAACCAAATTTCCTTCCAGCCCTAACAAATATTGATACAACTCTCTTAAATCGGGAGACAAGTGGCCTTGCAGAAAGCAGCATAACAACCGCAAAGGATCGGTTTATTCAATTTTGTGCAACATTCCAAACCGAGTTCAACAACAGGAGAGACACTTCCAATAGTAAAACGTTTGCAGCAAGCTATAGTGAAATCAATCAAGAAATTCTGACCAGTCTTGTCAGTCAGGTCATGATAGTGGCAAAATCGCACATGATTACGCCCAGTTTAAATCATGGGACTAACTTTTTGGTAAAAAAGATGAGACAAAAGGTTGACCAGTCTTTGGTAAGGAGGAAGATTCCGAGCGAAACAACCGCGGGCAGGAGTATGGATGCGGAGCAGCCGACAAAGGGCTTAACCGGACGTTCTATACTGTCTAAAGAATCAAAAATATTTACAACTTTTGCTGGATTATTTGGTAAGGCACGAAACCTGGCGGATGACTCGAACTTGGATAACCATAGTGTCCCTAGCAGTCCTTCATTTACAGGGGGAGAAGAAATCAAACGCTACGTATGGATGAAAAGAATCATTTATATTTCCATCCTTGTCTTAATCATGGCTTTCTTAGTAAATTTATTGCTAACTCGAGAAGATGAAAAGGCAGTGGATTTGGATATGTTAAAATGACAAGGTACATGTACACGGATATGTATATACATATATAAATTAAAGAACATTTAGAACGTTTTCTTAAATATTATCATTTTACAGGTGAGAATCGGCCAATCTGTAGCTTCCTTGTAATATTTGCCGCTATCCGCTATATAATTTCATAATTAAAACATTTTGCCATACTTATTAATTATCAATTGTTTCTTGTCTTGGGGTATATTATGGATGTGTAAAAGAATAAATTGTTCTTGTTGCGAGTAATGATTTAATTATTGTATTTTATCTACAATATTAATTTCATTTCATTTGCAATTTAAGTACGGATTTTTTCTAGTTTTTTGGACAGTTTTGAGAACAGATTTTGATGTTATGAATTGTCACGTGGGAAATGAATATTATTATTTAGACATCTCTACAATTATACTTGATTACATTAAGTAGTTATTTTAACGAGAGACAAGCTTTCTTCTTAGTCAGACAGAGTTTCGTAATATCCTGTATTGATGTCATGTGCCGCATTATTACGAGCGAGCATGTCTCATTTTCATACAGTTGTTTACTCGAATTATCACATCATCGCCTCGACTTGGAATGCATTAGCTACGCCTCCTGATTCCATAAGAAATGAGTGACATATTTCCTCCTTAAGTAATTCGTCTGGTCAGACTCAGACAATGCTGCTCAAACCGTGGGAATTTCCGACTTCACTGTGGAACACGTAAATACCACATACCTTTGTGAAATGCGTGCTACTTCCACTAACAGAATTGGACATTGAACTTATAACAACGCAGATAAAACTAACCAATATGTATTATCATACTCAAGTAAAATTATGCCAAGTTTGTTGATCAAAGTTTGTTGATCAAAGTTTGTTGATCAAAGTTTGTTGATCAAAGTTTTATAATTTTCCAGTCAAGAAAGAACACATTGCAGGTACGTGGTAAAATGTTAGAAGATTTGGTAGTATGTACAACCTACAACCTGCTAAATAAACTTGGTAATGCTAGACAACGTCATAAAATTGTAGATTGGTGAGGCGTAGATGTTTCTACCTTAACCTGATAAGAATCCGTGGTCAAGTCAATGAATTAATTTATACGACTACCTTGGCAACAATTCTTTGTAAATATTTTTGTAATATAAAACTATCCCCGTGGTCATGTCGAGTCAGTGCATTTCTTACCTTCGATCACAAATAATCTTAAACACTTCCCCATTTCCTTGATAATGACGCCAATCGCATATCGCCCAACCAAGTTGAGGGGCAGTGTCAAATTCAATTTTCCTGACATCACTCTTCCCTCCCTCGGTATGCAGACCGTGGCAGGCCGGTTTCGTAGAGTACAACCTAATCTGTCACGCTCAGAAGTAGATCCAGCCATTCTTAACGAGATGGCAGTTAAATACACCAGTTTTGCGAAGCTGCTAAGTTTCCAAGATTCCCATTTTAAACACTATCCAATCAAAACTATGATCCTCACCGCGGTACAATTTGCCCTCTATTGGATGCCAGGATTCCACGTGGCATCACCCGAACTGGATTTTGTGGCACGTCAATTAATTTGGATCTGGTTTTTGGACGATCCCATGGAGGAGATTTGGAATCGTGGCGAAAAACTTGACAAGAAACCAAGCATTGACGCCTTGCGATTCGTAAATGACACATATATTAAGATATTTAGTGGTAAAAGTGTCCCTAAAGAAATTCCTGGATTGGAAGAATTTCCCGAATTTGGACCCATGTGTGCTTGGGCGACGGATCTAACAATTCGAAGTAAACAGTGGGCAAGAATCAGCTTCGCAGACGAGATTGAATATATCGTTGAAACTTTGCAAACTATTTTTGACTGTTATCAATGGCACACGATTAGCCGGGTGGACAAAAGGTTATTAAAATTTGAGATTTTGAGCGACAAAGTTGCTAAGGTTTTTACAAATTTTTCTAAAGTTCTTTTTATTTTTGCCCAGGTACAATCTAGCGACATTCCAGTACTGGGGAGTCGTCAATTCTGGGGGTAGTTGGACCCTGGAGATGATCGCGTTTGTCATGGGGATACGGCTATCCTCAGAAATCAGACGGCATCCCGTCTTCCGTAAAATGATTAACATCGCGTCAGGGAATACCCAGTTGGTAAACGATATCTTAGGGATGGGAAAAGATTTTGGGAATCATATCGAAGGTGACGTCGACAGCGAGCACGTTTTCCGTGTCCTTACTAAAGGAGAAATATTACAAGACGCGGTGAACTCCATGTGCGACAAGATTAGTCAAGACCTCGAGGACATGATCCTCATTAAAGAAACACTAATCGATCTTTTCGGCGAGGAGGAGAATCTTGTCAGATTTCTCGACGTGATTGACACGTTTATCGATGGGCAGAACGTGACTTATGTGGAGAATATTCGGTACAAGTGTAAGCGAGGGTATGTCAGCTTATCGAGCGAAGACGATGAATAAGATGTCTGTTTTACCAATTGATTGACCGGAATTCCATATGAATCCCTGAACTTGTCATATGATTGTCACATTTTTTAGGTTAATATTTCCTACCGAATTCTGATTATTACTTAAATAAAAATTCCGATTTATACAAACAATATGTACCGGTGCAAATAAAATTTCAATATGATTCATGTCATAATAAATTGGACTTTTATGCAAGAAGCATTTTTAACTCGCTTCTGTTGGAACGAACGGTTCCATCGTCATTAAGCTTTATACAACCCTGATTCGTTTTATAAATACAGCATATTAATGCATTACGTATCCTACAATATTCGTATTCATTTTAATTCAACACCGCATTATTTGTGAGTCAACAATAGCATAGTGTTACGTATTTATTAGCATTACATATGCAGCAGGAGATTTACATATGTCGATTTGTTGATATGTGTGTAAATATGACATGTAATCGATTTACAGCCAAGTTATCAACACATAATTCATCCGAGTAATCAGGCATGTAGATAGGCAAAAGCAAAAAAAATCCGACGGTTCGTTTGTCAGTTGATAATCAAGATATATGTACATACCGTACGCTATGTAATGAGGAATAGCAAAATTTATCAATCATAATAATTTCATGTCATTTTATTTCCAAAATGTTATGATAATTTTAGCTTTTTACGAAGTTTATAATTTTTTTCTAAAGTAGAGAGTTGTAGAACCAACGGTCAATGCTATAAGCGCGATAGTCACCGGTTGTAATTTATACATACATATGACCATGGCTTAAATTGAGGATATGATCTCTACGTTGTATTTAATTTCAATGTTCGCCATTTAGCGAGATGCTCATGCCAACTACATGTGGTTTTCATATAAAACAAACATAAATCATAGCCAGCGCAGAAATCATATTAAAATGCTAGCTTACCGAGTTTTGCGAAATATGCGAGTTTTCTGGAAATAATATAATTTTATCTGGTTGTAATTTTAACAAAGTATAGCTTTTTGCATAAATAGTAACTCGTGGATCAAAGATGCGAAGAGAGTCGGAGTGGAGGGATAGCTCTATCACAGCGAGAGAACTGTTCTATTGGGGATACAATGCACCAACCTTTACTATGGTTCATTCCAAATTAATAGACCATTAACGTTAAGCTTATGGGAGCTTCAAAATGCTCCAGAAATGTCAATTCTTGACCAAATTTCAAAATTTAAAGTGTTTTGGAAACGTTGAACCCTTGCGGAGAATAAAGCGTTTCCAGATTTTTACATTTCGGCCCCCCTGACCTACAAATTAGGTCACAAGGTCAATAAATGAGAAATGTTCTCCATTAGCTAAAATGCATCCTAACACCCAATTTCTAAAAATTTTGATTGTCATCATTCAGTGTTGGTCTCAGGTGTTCCTCCTGCACGGTCATGAGGTCAAAAATAGTGCGGGGTCATTGTGGGGGTGCCTGTGGGTGTGGCGTAACTTGATTCCTTGCTTGGTTCATTAAAATTTCTGTAATATAAATGGTTAAAATAGCACCTTAAGACTTGAAACACATTTCTCTTGACGCAGGCACTAACACCCCACAGTGGGAGTGGCTTTTGGCGCTTTTTATATAATCTTAGAAAAGTATGACATATGGCACCAATTATTTTTCAGGGCAGAAAGGCGAATTCATTGGTCACCCCTATAAGTGAATAACCACACCCACAAGTGGGAGTGACTCCCGGCTATCTTAATAATAGTCTAACAAAGTATGACATTTGGCACAAATTCTTTTTGGGGGTGCAGATGTCACTTCGAATATCATCTGTACGTGTTAAAACCCACACACACCAAGTGGGTGTTGCCATATGAATTCGCTAAAGAAAATATTCCAAATGGCATCTAATTTCACCCTGATTAGAAGTTCCATTTGTTCTTCAAAATCCAATCATATAACTACCACACCCATTGTGGGTGTGGCTTCAATAAATTTTTTGTTTTGTGCTATTCAGAAACTTTAGCGGGCAACCAAATCATGTTTTTCAGCACGGGATCACTATCCAGCGTGGCACAAAAATATTCGAAAACCACACCCACCCACTTGGGGGGTGTGGCTTTGAACACTTACAGATAATATTCGAAGTGACATTTGCACCCCCAAATAGAATTTGTGCCACATGTCATACTTTGTTGGAATATTATTAGCATAGATAGGAGCCACTCCCACTTGTGGGTGTGGTTATTCACTTATAGGGGTGACCAATGAATTCGCCTTTCTGCCCTGAAAAATAATTGGTGCCATATGTCATACTTTTCTAAGATTATATAAAAAGCGCCAAAAGCCACTCCCACTGTGGGGTGTTAGTGCCTGCGTCAAGAGAAATGTGTTTCAAGTCTTAAGGTGCTATTTTAACCATTTATATTACAGAAATTTTAATGAACCAAGCAAGGAATCAAGTTACGCCACACCCACAGGCACCCCCACAATGACCCCGCACTATTTTTGACCTCATGACCGTGCAGGAGGAACACCTGAGACCAACACTGAATGATGACAATCAAAATTTTTAGAAATTGGGTGTTAGGATGCATTTTAGCTAATGGAGAACATTTCTCATTTATTGACCTTGTGACCTAATTTGTAGGTCAGGGGGGCCGAAATGTAAAAATCTGGAAACGCTTTATTCTCCGCAAGGGTTCAACGTTTCCAAAACACTTTAAATTTTGAAATTTGGTCAAGAATTGACATTTCTGGAGCATTTTGAAGCTCCCATAAGCTTAACGTTAATGGTCTATTAATTTGGAATGAACCATAGTCCAACGACAAATTGGGAAAGGAAAATATTTTGTCCCGGACAGTGAACATTTATTTACAAATATGAGAATCTGAAAGAATAATTTACCCTTGGTATTTCCTTCTTCTCCGTTCAAATCCTCTTTTCACCTGGATCGCCACCTCATCCGCAACCTGTTGCTTGGGCAACGGCAGCGGAAAGTAATCCTGTCGTCTTCCTAGGTATGGACGATAGTTAGGAGCGGATTCATATTTTATTGTGTAAATCCATCACTCCGCTTTTGTATAAGATGAGGACACGGGTGACATGCGAATCACGTTGTTTGGAATTTGGGCTTAGGGTGAGTTGTCATCTTGTCATTATAATGCGGGACAAGATTTGTGATAAAAAATTTAATGCAAAATAGTTTGTCTAAAGACATTGCACGACCACTACTCATTGGTAAGATGTGCTTTATTTTACTATTTCTTATGTCATTATCATGCATGTTACTATCACTAGGATTTGTTACACATTTATGTTTTCTATGCGTCATACCTTCCTCTATCCCAGGTAAATATGAATCATCTTGAAGGATACCCTATCTTCCTGGTCATTCCAGGAGAGGCAGTCTCAACCCGGACAGCATCAAGATAACAAGGGGAAGGTGCGTGATTTTCTTTCAATTCACTTTACTGACAGATCGATCTTTCACAACTTTACATCTTACTTATCTACTATCTCTCCAGGGATTTAGTTCTCTCCGGATTGTTGCAAATCATTAGATATTTCTCTGTCTCACTCCAATATGATCTGTGAGTTAACATTCATCCTTTATTTTTCAATATATAAAAATACATAATTTTCCGTAAACAAATCATCAACTATATTATATATTTGCTTATGCGATATTTGCGGAATTCAGCTACACGAGAAATCCATACAAGACATTGCATACTGTTTGTTAATAAACAAGTTTTGGGTAGCGAGTTTGGTTCATTTGACAACTTGTCTTCAGTATAAAAATATTTTGCGAAATTATTCAATCTGAAGCAACTATAATCTCGGGTGTCGTTTAAAATTTTCTAATTATTATAGGACTTCCTAAATGGCCAGAATTCTGGATTCCTCGGAGACATTTCCCTCCACAAATTTACCAGATGAAGAATCCTCGGTAGTCTCTTTTGGAATGTTTCTGTACAACTTTTTCTGCGATTACAATCTTGAGCCATGGCTTCTTCTATTTCTCTTCTTGGCCAATATGTTCCTGAGTTTTTGGCTCCCAACCCAGGTGAACCATCACAAAAATATCCTAGTCCGAGCGCCTCTTAAGAAGAAGAGGATGGAAGTGAAGAAAAAGAAGAGTAGATCAAAGAAGAAGAACAGGCAATACTAATCGGCTCCATGCGTATGTACGCTAAACAACACGATCCCAATAATGTTACTTTGCAATCAACACAGATTTCCTAATATCCGGCTTACATTATTTGAGATTAATGCGTGAGTAAATAATCGACTTAATATTGAAGTAGCTTGATAATGAAACTTAAATTGCAGGGCATCGCTGACTCAAAACTGCAATTCCGCATTCAATTCGGCAATACGGCACGCAATTCGGCAATTCGGCATTACAAAACGGCAATTCGGCAATTCGGCAAAGTTTTGAAAGTACATACACTTTTCTGATTTTTATATATTCCAGATTCAATATCTAGATGAATACTTTCGTCAACAAATTTTTGAATTTCCTTGGCATATCCAAGGCTACCGGTTATAATAGGAAAATATTTCCTGATTAGGAGCTAATGTTTTGTTTTTTACGCAACCTAATAGCCAAGTTTCCCTTCCAAACTTGCCATTATTTTCCTGGTTATCTCTACTGCAGAAAATCCGTGATATTTAATTACGGAAAATTATAAGTGAGTAGTGATTTTCCCACCGTGAAGTAGCACGCGTTACAAATTTATACCCGATCCCGTTATTCTGTAGTTTTGATACGGAGGAAAGTAACACAGTATAAGCGTAAAAATTAATGAATAAAATATTGACAATAATTTAGTAACTAAGGTCTGTATATTTTAACCAGATCAAATTTTGCTTCAATAATTCTGAAAAGCTAAATGCTGCCCGTAATGTTAGTCAGACACGTATACCACCCAACCTTATTCCAAGAACTTCATCCTGTTTAAATACACCGACGATAGTTTATCATTAAATAGTATGATTTAGTAATAATTTAAACACAAGTACATATACAATATGAAATTAAACTCATTAAAAATACTGGCACCCTGCCATACCTAAAAAATTTTTTTATATCGTAGCCGGACAAATTAATTCTGTACAATTTCACCTTAATAATTTGCTTCATTTGAATTAAATTAATTTTGCAACTGCCATACTGATTCGGTCATGTTAATCGGAAACTTTAGATTAGAAAATTAACTGGACTCCCTATTTAATCTTTTGCCTTGAAATTAATCCTGTGTAAAACTTTGTATAACATCACGAAACATCCAGAAAAATCAAGATTCTGTATTTATACACGACGATGTAATAACACATTGGGTAATGTATTAATTTGTTGAACATATAATGTCTAAATATTTAATGTCATGCCTTAAGTTTGAATCCAATTAAGTTTAATAATAAATGAGGTCTTCAAAAACAGACCGAAACAAAAAACTTCTCAAACACTATGAATTGCTGAAATTACATAACCTCACCTTGTCGACCATATCTGCATCACTATGCCGATTTTATGAAAAAGATTTTAAAACTTAGTACGCACAATTTCTACGATTTAGTTTTCAAAACCGTTCCATATAATTGATATTCGCTCAATTTTAAGTTTAGTATGCACCTAATTAAATACGTATATGGGAACGAAAAATTCTTTTCAACTCGATAATTTTTTAACGGATAAAATTTCTTGTACTATCAATCTTGAGTCTGGCTAGAAAAAAGCTTACATATCGTTGAATGTGCACTTTTTCTGAACTATGGTTGATATACCAAAACGAAAATCAATAATTTAACAACCCTTACCTGGCGAATCATTTAAATTGCGCTCTGTGCCACCTAACCCCTCAGCAAGAATGGATTCTCGTTTTAATGTATCAACCATAATAAATATTTTCAACGTCAAAGAAAATAAATATAATCGTTATCCGTGGATGAATCCAATGAAATTAATTCACTAATAATTATAAATACACAAACAACAATAAGTTTCTGGCGAGATGGCAAACTAGCAGCAGTAATGTATTTTCACTTTGTTTTGCGATGTTCACATAAATTCAAATAAATTTGTGAGAATGGAAAATAAATTTAGCATAGTTGCCCGAAATTCCAGAACAGACTAAATTTTAAGCACATTTGCATATTTCAAACTAATAAAGGATAAAATCGAAGGATGGCTGATTTTTTGTTAGACGACAACTTCTTCACATAAATTATTCCATATTAGAGATTCTGCATTCTTAGAGCAACCTCAAAAGTCTAATATTGCTATAATAACTTTCTTTAATTCGCAAAATTTGAGTTCTACGAAAGAAATAAAAACTATAAATTTTTTATCAACAATCTAAATATTGAATCGATTTTTATCCCTCTAATTTCGTAGTCTGATTTGCCTCCTTCAAGCTTATTTTTCGTAATACGTTACAGTTGATGATATCACGTGAAAGGAACAATGCCAACTCCACTGGTTTGGTTGACCATAACGGAAAGTTTCCGGTTGAACAGTGTCCTTTGGAAGATTCCGCTCGGCTAGAATGTTACAACAAGAAGGTTCACTTTCGACAAGAGTCACCCATGTGCCTTCTTCTACTCGTACTTTGTCCTTTTCTTTCTCCTAGTAACCGTACTCTCCGCTGCGATCCTACACTCGATATATCTCCAACTCTACGCGCCGCGAAATGGTGTAAATATTCTGTTTACGGTCCAGCAAATTATATTTTTAAATGGAGCCTTAATTGCGGCTGGAATCGCGGTATATCTTCAAGTTTATGGGAATCAAGGTGTTCTCGTTTATAACGCGTTGATCGATGTGTACGACGAAGTAGAAGAATACGGTAAAAATTGCAAAAGCACAATAAAGATATTTAGCGTGATCAAATCTGTCTTCTTTTATGACGTCACAAATTTTATGACTTTTTTTCAGAATATGGAACGATATCCAAGGAATCCAACGGGGTGATCCACACCAATAGAAATACAGGATTGAAAAATATTTTCGCCCCGTTATTTGATAGAAAAACCCCAATCTGGAAAACTAGAGATGGACAGATTGATAAGAGAGGTATGCACGGCGCAGGGGATCTATTATATTTTTTTAATTCGAATCAATTTACTATCTAAAATTTCCTTCACCAGGTACAATTATGGCAATTGTACTTCTCCCATTGCCACTCTATACATATATTTTCGCCCCGATAGTCGTACTCGTCAATGATTTGGACGTTCCAAAATATCTGTTTGAAGATATCTGGGCAGCCCTTGGATTGCAGGGCAATTCTATCGTGTGCATTTTAAACAAAATAATCCGGACAGGTATGGCATTTGCGGCATTTGCCGAACTGTTCAGGACGTTTCCTAACTTCATATTTACGATGGTAATTCCCGAACAAATCATGGTCAGAACTACAAAATTCTTTATAAGGTAAGCTAGATTTCGTTTAGTCAAATTACTTGTATTGTTTTACGTATACCGGTTGACAAATATAGGAGAAACTAATGGTAACATCGTGGAATAAAAACGTCATCATATACTGTTCCAAAAAAAATTACGATATTGACCAACCCTAATTTCTCTCGACATGAAATACTTGAACGCAGTCAATGGTATCCTTAGCTAAGTTTTGATAAAATTATTAAAACCAGCTATTTATTTCAGTCATAGTTCAACTCTGGACTACGGAAAGCTGGCAGACCTCCTTAGGATCTTCACGCAATTGAAGATAATACTGCAAACTGGGGAGAAGCCGTTGGCAAATGCTATCTTCCCCCTCATGACGGGGGGCTTGATCTTAAGCTCGTCGTTGAACTTTGCAGCTATCAGATTCTATGGTGAATTAAATTATTCATACTACATGGTCTTTCCCGCGATGGCAGTTGTTGTTATGATTATAATTTTGGCCTTGTTACCACTGGCCATAGGGATATTTGAGGATTCCGATTAAGTCATTACTCGTTGGAAGAGAGGAATGAAGAAAGGGACAAAAATGGACGCGTTCTTCGCCAAGAAAGCTAAAGCTCTGACACCGTTAGCCTTCTATGCTGGAGTTAATGGATTCTTCCTGTATACAATCGACCGTACCGTGCTTGGAACGTATATTGGATCAATTCTGGATTATACGATTCTTTTCTTAATGTCCTTCGAATCTGATATGATCCACTCGTACGCGGCAAAGTTGTTACATTAGGTAAGAATTCCCACACCCCCCCTCCTTGTAATCTAGTTGATACCATAACATTCAAATTCGCCGTCAATTCTAAATTTCTAATTACCAAATTTTTAATTTGTGCAAATTTTTCGTTGTCGTTCATAGATTTATACGCTATGTGTGCATTGTTTAACTGAAAGCCTAGCTAAACGCGCATTACATAAGTATAGATAATTGTACGAAACCAACAATTACTCAAACATTATTCGAAACAATTTCTCCGTGTTTAAGTAAGTATTGCTGAAATAGAGTTATATGTAGTATCTAATATAAATCGCACCACACTGTAATCTTAACGTGATTTATATTATGTCTACTATTAATGAGAATTTGTATTAAAATCACACATAGATGGTGTATGTGTCATCAGATTAAGTCTATGTGAATTAAAATAAGGCATAGAAATCTCACCCACTATTAACGTCATAGATTACATAAATGCCAGAAAATCATAAAACTGTAAAGTAAACCACAAAAGTTATGAAACAATAACTTATTTACCCCTGAATAAAACATAAGTTGGTTTTTCCCAAATTAAGAGTTCAGCATACTTAGAAAATTTAGTAGATTGGATTTCATCGAAAATAATGAACCCGTAATGATGACCCATTTATATAAAACAAACCAGTATTGATTTCCTCAAAATTTCTTGACAAGATATGGTAAGAAATATAATTAAATTGAAAATACTTATAGCTTTTTTATTACCATGTAATAGGATGCAAATAAGTTTCCAGTATTTTTTTTCGTTTTTCAAAGAAACAATAAAAACCTATAGAAATAGGTTTAACTCCATTTCCTTTTTTTAGCCCGACCCAGGGCTTATGTACCCGGTCTGTCTGTCTATCTGTCCGTCTGTCTGTCTGTCTGTCTGTCTGTCTCTCGATTACTCTCTTCAAAGTTGACTGATGGACTTGAAATTTTGCATACACATAGTATATACATATATACAAGTCAAGTTCGAAGATGGGCATGATCGGTCAGGCGGTTAGCCGGTGGGGGGTATGGGGTACCTTAAAACCAAAGGGGGGACCCTTTGGTCTGGTGCAGAATATTCGAAATACTTGCAGAAAACTAAAATTTTGTAGGTAGAACCCAATGTACATACTCATGGTTTATATGCACATTGGGTTCATCCTGCCAAATTTTTCAGTCATATTGGGGACCCGACACGGTGACCCGTACCGATTTTCAGAATTAGCCGTATAATACTGAAAATCGGCACATAGATGCCAAATACCTTCTAGTGAAAGATTATGACGTTCGATTCAGAAAATTTTCAAGTTGAAAGACCCTAGGGGTTGACCCACACCGATTTTTCAAAATCTTTCAATTGAGCTGAAATGAATTCTGAATTGAATTCTGAGAAAATATGAATAAATTTGACGAGCGTGCATATAGAGGCATCGTACGGGATGATTCATATGATATAATTGAGGTTGTCTGTGTTTTGTACAAAACACAGACAAAATGAATGACCTATCCTGGGTCGGGCAAGTGAAGCCGTACTGAGAGGTTTTTAAATATTGAACTACCGTAATAAACACATTTGTATCGTAAAATTTACTTTGAATCATACACTTTCAGATCAACAACTGATAAACAACTAGAAACCATACACAGGGTTTGGAAAAACCCAGAGCTTTATTAATAAAACCCCCACCCCGGGGTTTTTTATGGGTTTTATGGGTTTTATTGGGTTTTTTGGGTATATGGGGTTTTATTGGGTTTTGTTAACGCCACCTATCGGATGTTTACCATAACTAACTAATAAAACCCAAAAAACCCCAACTACCCGGGGTTTTTTAGAATTCAATACCCATAAAACCCAATAAAACCCATTTACCCAAATACCCAAAAAACCCGAGGTAGCAAACTATGACCATACACTTATATCATCCTAATGAAACTAAGACAAAATTAAGGTGTGCATCCACATGTTCCACCATCCAAATGTGGTTGAAAGTCACGTCTCTGTATCCCTATTTTGTTACATGTGAAAGTTACGCAATTTCAAAACTGTAATACCTTTCAAATAAGTCTGAACAATTTACACTACAGCATAAGATATCTTTTACTGTTACAGTCCGACCGTGAGACCTTTTCATATTTAATCATTTCTGATTTTTATTTATTTCAGATTCAATATCCAGATAAATATTTTCGTCAACAAATTTTGGAATTAAATTTTGTTTTTCAAGGTTATCCATTATCGTAGGAACATATTGCCTGATTTACAAGTTTTTTGGTTTTTTACACAATCCAATAACCAAGTTTCCCACATCCTAACTTTCCATTGTTTTCATAATTCTATTGCATAAAATCTGTGATATTTGTATTACGAAAAATTATAAGTATGGAGTGAGCTTCCCCACCAAAGTAACAAGCATTACAAATTTTAATCGTACATGGTTACAGTCAATTGTTTTGGTCAGTGATCGGCAATTTTAGGACCATCGACCATTGGTCGCGTGACCATCAAAAATTTTTGCGACCATCGACCATTGGACGCGCGACCACCAAAATTTTTTGCTACCATCGCCCAATGGTCGCAAAAATCGACCATGCCTATCTCTTACCATAGGCAATTTTGCGACCATCGACCATTGGTCGATGGTCGCAAAAATCGACCATTGGTCGCGCGACCATGCCGATCACTGGTTTTGGTGCAGAGGAAAGTAGTATATTTACAATGATTTAGTAACTATTTTATTACTGAACAGTAAGATTTAGTAATAATGTAATTACAAGGACATACAAAAATACAATATGCAGTTAAACTTATTTATTTATAATGGCTGCTTGCCATATTTAAAAAAATGTTTTCATATCATAGCCGGACAGTTATTTCTGTAAAACTTCACTCTGGGGATTTGCATTGTTTAAATTAATTTTGCCATTGAGATGCTTATTCAGTAATCCTAATTGGAAACTTTAAAATTTAAAATAAAGTATCTCGCCTATCATTTGGCACTGGCACAAAGTAGCCTATAAAATTTAAAGTTGTTGACAAAATTTGACAAAATTTTGAACAATTAAAGGTTAGAGTATTACCAATTAGTTTTTTGTACCAAGGGTTTGTCTCACGCCATGCTGCGCCACTAATCTGACCTTCTTTCGGATCCCTTTCATGAGCGTTTTCCCAGAGTCTTTGGCTTATTTTTGTCCATTTGGATGTGAACCCTTCAATTGTTTTTGGCTTTCTAGTAAGTTTTGAATATCTTGCTTTGCAAATTGCCCAAAACTTTTCAATTGGTCGACATTGAGGTACATTTGGAGCGTTGTCCTTTTTGGGCACGAATTCGACGCTTTCAGCCGCAGTGACTTCTTTGGCATAATGTGAGGTCGCCATGTCAGGACAGAACAAAACATCATTTATTTTATGATGTTCACGTATGAACAGAAGCATCCGATCGTTCATTTATTTTTGAGCAGCATAAGTTATTTTGGAGGATTGATTGTTGTCGAAGTGATTTTTGGTGAGCTTTTGAGGGGTCGCAATAACACTAGGTTTTACAACACAATTATTTTTTTGAACTTTACTGATTCCGAATCCCTATATAGTCTAATATAATGATATATTGTCGTTTTGGAACATCCTTGAAGTCTAAAGTGCTGCCAAGCCGAATTCGAATCGCATCCAGCCACAATTTTATAGAATTGTAAAACACGAATTTGCGAGTTCTTCACTTTGAACACGATTATTTCTAAATCTAGCCATCTTTTTAAAAAAAAGTTTAATATGCACTAGTTCCGCTTGACACTGGCTTTCAATTAAAAATTAAATTAGATACAGATGTTCACTAACTGACCGGGAATTCTAAATGCGCGCCCAGTGCCAAATGATAGGCGAGATGCTTTAAATTAGGAATTAACCTTGTGTAAAATTATGTATATCATTTCCAAACAAAATCAGCATTCCGTATTTATTCATAACGTAATAACACATTAAGCAATGAATTATTTTGTTGAACAAAATGATGTCTATATTTAATGCGATGTCTTAAGTTTGTGTCCAATGAAGTTTTACAATAAATATAGTCTACAAAAACAGACTTACACAAACAAAAAATAAAGTTTTCGAACCTTACGAATTGTGTAACTTAGGAGGAGAACTCCCCAATTGTAAATCACAGATTCGAAAGTCCTTTTGGTATTTTGAAGTATGATATGGGCACAAACACTAAAACGGTTTGACTCCATGGGCCCAATTATATCTGCCACACCCCCTCAAAGTTGAGAAAAACAAGAAAAACGCCCTGTTTTTACATAGGTAAACTGTCACCACAGATTTTCCATTCGTCAGATTTTCATAATCTTGATATTTTTGTGATCCCAGATAGTTGCTTTATCATATCCAATATCAAACTCAACTTTTCTGAAATTTTTAAAATTTCTCTAGTATGGGTGTGGCTCAAATTTTTTAAAAATTTCAGAAAGTTTGAGTTTGATATGGAACATCATAAAGCAACTATCTGGGATCACAAAAATGTCAATATTATGAAAATATGACCAGAATTGGATTTTTGGTTTCGGTTTGACTATGTGAAAACAACGTGTTTTTCACAAATTTGAGGGAGTGTAGAGGGCGGAATTAAGGCCATGGAGTCCAACCATTTTAGGGTTTGACTATATTTATACCCTACTTCAAAATGTCAGAGGAGCATTCGAATCTGTGAGTTTCAATTGGGAAGCTCTCCTCCTTATCTACCGCATCTGCATCATCGCGCCGACTTTATGACAAAGGTAATAAAACTTAATACGCACAATTTCTATGATTTAATTTTCATAATCGTTGGACATATTTAATACGTGGCATTCGCTAAATTAAAAGTTTAGTATGCACCTATATGGAAACGAAAACATATTTTCAGCATGCTAGCATGTTAACGGTTGAGATTTCATGTACTGACTTTTTTATGCGGTATGTCTGGCTAGAAAGAAAGCTTAAATATAGTTGAATTTGCAAACATTTTGTTCTTCACAGATAAATATTTTAAACGCCGTGAGAAGGAAGTATCATTATCAGTGGAGCAATCAATAAATTAATTCTTCAATATGATTACCCAAACTACAATAAGGTTCTGGCGAGATGGCAAACCCACAGTAATGTAATTTCACCGAATTTTGCGATGTAAATTCAAATACATATTTATATGAGAATAGAAAACAAATTTAGCATAATTCCCCGAATTTCAAGAACAGACTAAATTTTAAGCACACATGCATACTTTAAACATTAAGGAAAATATTGACCAATATCTCAATTTCTTTGTCAGCAGGCAATTTCTTCATATTAATTATTCCATGTTATATCAAGGATTCTTAGAAAACTAATACCACAAAAGTCTAATATCGCTATAATAATTTTGTTTAATTCGCAAAATTTGGGTTAAGCCAAAAAACACATAAATTTTTTATCAACAATCAAGATAACGAATCGATTTATTTTCTCTAATTTCGTCGTCTGATTTACCTCGTT